TTCTGAACTTGTTGAAAAAGCCTCTACATGCTTGAAAGATGGAGGATTTGCTTTTGTGAAAGGAAACTGTTGTTTGGCGTTGAATCCAAATTTCACAGTCATTTCAAAATTCTCTGATTTCTGCTTTTGCAGAAAGAATGTTAAGGAAATCCAAGGATCGATTAAGGAAATATATGTGGATAATCTTGACTATGGTTGGGTTGATGATATTAAATCATCCCTCGTTGATGAAACAATTGAAAGAATTTACTTGAAATCCGAATCTTCTAATCCTAATGGAGTTGTTGGAATGGTAAACTGCTTAAGACAAGAACCAGGTGGACAAAAAGTTCGCGCGATTCTTTACGAAAAAGGAAGCGTCAAAAGCACTGAAGAAGAAAAGATACAATTGAAACTGGACTTGATTATCAATGTTAAACAAAAAAATAAATGGGGAAGTTATAGACATATCCCGATACCCTCTTCTCCTCCAACTATTGAAACTAATAATGCCTTCGTTAACGTACTAACACGAGGAGATTTAGCTAGTCTCAGATGGATTGAAAACGATGTCAACGATGAGAACGGCAATGTTAAAACGAATGTTCATTATGCCTCTCTTAACTTTCGCGATGTTATGTTGGCGACCGGCAAGCTTCCTCCAGATGCTTTACCTGGTGACATGGCTACGAAAGAATGTATTCTTGGTATGGAATTTTCAGGAACTGCTGGTAAAAAGAGAGTAATGGGTCTAGTACCGGCAGCCGGTTTAGCCACATCTATCGATGTTAAAGAAGATTTCCTATGGGATGTACCCGATGATTGGTCTTTGGAAGAGGCAGCAAGCGTACCAGTCGTTTATGCTACAGCTTTCTACGCCTTGGTTGTAAGAGGTCGTTTACAAAAAGGAGAATCTGTTCTAATTCATTCAGGTTCTGGAGGTGTTGGTCAAGCCGCTATTGCTATAGCACTCTCTATGAATTGCACAGTATTTACAACGGTAGGATCTCCCGCTAAAAAAGAAATGCTCCTGAAAAGATACCCTGGTCTATCTAGAGAGCGAATAGCTAACTCTCGTGACTCAACATTCGAATGGCATATATTGAGAAATACTAAAGGTCGCGGTGTAGACGTTGTTCTAAACTCCCTGGCTGAAGAAAAATTACAAGCCTCTGTTCGACTTTTGGCTTCTCATGGACGTTTCTTGGAAATTGGAAAAGCCGATCTAGCAAATGACAATAGTCTCGGAATGTCCGTATTCTTGAAGAATATTACATTCCACGGAATCCTATTAGATGCCCTCTTTGAAGGAGATAATCCTGATTGGGTTACTGTCTCTAATTTAGTTAGAGATGGAGTAAAGAACGGAGTCGTTAAGCCTCTCCCAACAACCGTATTTAATAGAGACGATATTGAAGGAGCTTTCCGCTTTATGGCGCAGGGTAAACATATCGGTAAAGTTGTTGTTAATGTGGGGGGCGAAGTAGGTGTTGAAGCAATAGCAAGAACTACATGTGAACCTAACAAATCTTATTTGATTATCGGAGGCTTAGGTGGATTTGGCTTAGAGTTGGCTCAATGGTTGATTGATAGAGGAGCAAAACATCTAACTCTTACGTCTAGATCGGGAGTTAAAACAGGTTATCAATTTAGATGTTTGAGAAGATGGCGAGAAAATGGAATTAAGGTGCATGTCTCTAGAAAAGATGTCAAAGACTTAAAGGAAGCTAATGACCTCTTAAAAGAAGCTTCTGAACACGCTCCTTTAGGAGGAGTTTACAACTTGGCCATGGTTTTGAAGGATGCGTTTATGGATAGTCAGACGAAAGAAATGTTTTCAGCCGTTTCAGATCCAAAAGTTTTAGGAACAATAAATGTTGATTCTCTGACAAGACAAGACAGCTTTGGCAAACACCTTGATCATTTTGTTGTTTTCTCTTCTGTATCGTGCGGAAGAGGAAATGCTGGTCAGGCTAATTATGGTTTTGCAAACTCGGTTATGGAAAGGGTATGCGAAAGAAGACGTCAAGACGGTTTCCCAGCTCTTGCAATCCAATGGGGAGCCGTTGGAGATGTAGGTGTTGTCCTAGATACTATGGGAGGTAATGATACGGTAATTGGAGGAACTCTACCACAACGTATCACCTCATGTCTCTCAACTATGGATCGATTCTTGCAATTGCAAAGAACTCGTTCCGACGCTGCTGCTGTCTATTCATCTTTCGTTCTTGCCGAAAGAGTATCAACTTCATCCTCGTCAGAAAAGCCAGATCTTGTTGCCTCTGTTGCAAATATTTTGGGCATGAAGGATGCATCAGCGCTGGACGCTGACACAACCTTGGCTGACTTGGGTCTGGATTCTTTGATGGGTGTTGAAGTAAAACAGACATTAGAAAGAGACTTCGATATAATTCTTGACATGAAAGATATCAGATTATTAACAGTAAACAAATTGAAATCATTGGAAGGAGCAGAAAGTTTATCAACCCCCTCTTCTAAAGAGAAGTCTCGTATAAGTGGCATGGCTAGAGAAAGATACAACCTACCTAATCTTATGCCAACAGAAGAGTTAATCCATGTAAATACATCAGTCAAAAATGGTGACAAACTGCCGATATTTATTGTATCTCCTATTGAAGGTTTCGCCAGTACATTTAAAAACCTTCCAAAGTATTTATCCGATCAAAGAATATACGCTCTACAATGCACAAAGGAAACTCCTTTGAATTCTGTGCCAGAACTCGCCAGTCATTATATCAAACTAATTAGAACAGTACATAAAACAGGAAAAGTTAATGTAGCCGGTTACTCTTTCGGCGCTTGTGTAGCCTTTGAAATGGCATTACAATTGGAACAAAATGGTGATTTAAATACCGTTACATTATTGGATGGTTCTCATTCCTACGTCTCTACTCATACGACCGCACATAAAGAAGCGTTGAAGAGCAGGGAGGCTCAGTTATCGTACGCCTTAGCAACATTTGCCGATACGTTAATAGAGCCTTTCGATCACACTATCTTTACGGCGGATCTCTTAAAGTGTAAGGATGACGAGAGTCGATATGAAACCTTAACTAAAACATTGAAAGATGTCGAAAAATTGGAAAATGTCGAAGAAGCCGCTAAATCGTTTGTTAAGAAATTATCAATTGGAGATGAATACGTACCAAAACGTAAATTACATGAGAATGTTACATTGGTATCGGCCAAAAAGAGTTCAGTTAATTTGGGTAAAACCTATGGCTTGGAGAATGTTTGCGAAGGCAATATAAAAGTAATAGAGGTCGAAGGAGACCATAATTCATTTTTGAAGACAAATGAAGGCAAAGACGTTGCTTCTGCTTTTTGTTTCTAGTCCCTATACACTTATATATATGCATATATATACATACATATATCTAATTCTGAATTTTGAGAGAATAAAATGTTGATATTTTGAAGAAATTACCCCAAAATTAAAAATTATTCTTTTAATTTTATTTACTTAACTTAGATGGCGCTTTAACACTTTGTACAAATAGGCGTGTGTGTAAATCGCTTTACGCGCCATCTGCCTCAAGGCTCCATGGCAGCGGTTATAATAAACGATTATTAGGATTAGTAACGGTTTTTTGGTTAATTTCATGCAGTGAGTTATACAGAGCTTTCTAAGATCAACTTAACATTTTTAAATCGATGATTGCCTTATTTACAAATTGTTGTTAAAAGAAATTATTGACAAACATATTAAGGTAACAATTTGCCTAATAAAAAATCGACTTATTTCTAGTCTTTCGAGTTCTATTATACTTATTTTCGATTGTTATAGAGAAGGTATGTCGCGCCCAAGCAGTTCAAAAGGAAAGAAGGGTAAAAAAGGTCAAACTAAAACGCCTAAACAACAAGTGAAAGAATTAACGGAACAGAATGCAGAACTTATGAAGCAACTTGATGAAAATAGAGAAAACTTGCGAACTTGTGAAGATAAGCTAGCGTTTTTAACCGTGACGTTGCTACGTAACTTGGATCCAAGAGACTTTGGTGTTCGACCAGACGCCGAACCATTACTTGTTCCAACAAAAGCTTTAGAGCAAATGGTATCTAGTCTATCTGCAAAAAAGAAAGTTCGAGAAGTGTCTGTTGAAGCTAGAATAGAAGAATTAGAGACTCGTGTTACTCAAATGAACTCAGAAATGGCTAAAATGTGTAAGAAGACTATAGCATACGAAAATGGATTACAGGACTTATTGTCCTATAATAACATTGATGAAGTAAAGGATAAAATCTACGATCTTCAATTCATTGCAGGAAAGCAGTACGAATCCATCGCGATTGCCGATTCTCAAGCAATCAAACCACCAATGATGGATGGTATAGAGAGAAGGAGCGACGCAGCATGCAGAAGAATGATCGATAATGAAATTGAATTGAATCTTGTACCCCCAGCTGATAAATTACCAGGAGACACGCATATTTCAGATATGCATAACAATCTCAGGTTGCATTTGATAAATGAATTAAGCTACACAAAGCGTTCAGGTAAGCTTAATAGATTAGTTTATACTTTTGCAAATAATTAACGAGTATGATACGCATGTTTTTTTTTGTTCTCTTTAGGAATGGATTGGAGAATGTTAGCCGATAGGGTTGGTATAGCACGAGAACAAATTGAGGAATGGCAATATCAGAAACTAGATATGCCAGCTGGACGGGTATTCTCAGCTTGGTCACAATCAGATGGTGCAACTGTTCGACTTCTGCATAGACATTTAATATCGCCAGAAATGAGGTGCACATTTTTAGCCAAGCGATTATCCGATTTTTACGACGTGTAATCGATTATTTTAAGTTTTATATGTTTCTCCGAATTTGATAATATAAAAAAAAAAGCAACTTCTACCAAAAGTTTAACCTTCACCTTAAATCTATTATATTCTAACTTGTGTTTAGTATTGTTTACTTTTAAAAGTGTTCATAGTATAAGAAATCGGATTTTTGGGAGTTAAATAGCCCATAGGGGAAATAGAACGATGTATAAAACGTTAATGCTTGTCTTCCGGACGACAAATTATTACCGGACAGTGAGCGTGATGAAGAACGTAGTCGCTGTTGAATAGATTAGTATAATAATAGAATTAATAAGAAAGATGATAGTGAATAATGGAAATCATTTTTACCTTACTGAACCGAGTAAAGTCCTACGGATTGTACCCATTCCTCTTGTTCCCATAACGATCATTCTAGCTCCTTCTTCTTTTGCCAAATCGATTATCAATTCTCCAGGCCTGCCACTAAAAACGGCCTTAATGCGACCCGAAATCTGTAATTAATTAAGGAAATGCGATGTTGTTTTTTAACATTTGTCCCACACTCCTCCTTAAGAAAGAAGTTACCTTATTAGCACGCATTTTATTTGCAAACTTTTCCTCAAGCTTCTTCACTTTATCCTTTTCAGCAGCTAGCATTTGCTCCCATAACTCGCCAGACATGTACATTGCCTCTGCAAAGAAGTCAATCAAACATATTTCAATAGTACACTCATACAACAAGGCTAAAAATACACGTACGTTGGGAAGACACAAAAGGTGGTTCTGCACTATGAACTAACAGAAGATTATGATCACTCTTGTGCATATGCTCTATGTAAACTGTTCAAACATTATGATATTAAGTGAATTTTAGAAAATAGTAGGTCAAAGTTTCGAGGCTTACATTCAAAAGCATGATCAGCTTGTTCACTTCCATCAATGGCAACAATAACGGTGAACTTTTTTTCAGCTACTTCTGCCATATTTCGTCTTCGTTCGGCCGCTTTAGTCTGCTTAGTTCGAAAGATGGGATATAAATGACAACAATATATTTTAAGAGAGTGAAGTTTGACCTTGACCTTTGAACTTGTCTTTGCTTGGTGGAAAAAAACAAATTTTAGACACGTTCGTGGTAATTTTGAATTATTTCAGATCTAAGTAAAATTCGAATTTTAACATTATAACTATTTTATTGTGTCATTTCATATATGTATGTACTAAAGCCAAATGTAAACTATTAACTTTTATCTTTAGGCACTTTTGAACAAACGAGACAGATAGATGACGCAAACACCAAAACAAAAATGGCCACTCTATTAATATTTTTAGCTGCGCCATAAGTCAAATATACTGTTATCAATTACTTTTCGATTTTCGCTTATACTTGAAATATTATCAATAGAATATTGTAGATATTTATGATCTTTTAAACGATATTAGGTAAATAATATCAAGCAGAAAATGTTTTAAGCCCATAAAAACAACATTTGTCATTTTCTTATATCTAAACAACTAGCTGTAACTTGCCATTAATCTCAATAAAACAAATTATTAGTACAAATTTTCTCCTTTAATTAAGCCATATTCGACGGCTATCAAGTTATAATCTCTAAGCTGAAATAATCTTTCTGTACAACTGAAGAAATCTCATTTGTTTTTTCCATTGTTTGTTATAGAGGTTCAATGTTAGGCCAATATTGGCTTTTTGTTTTCATGGACAGACAAAAACTATCGATAAATCATAAAAAAAATATTAAATCATTTAATTATGGTTTATACAGTCAATAAGTTTGTTTTGTTTCAACTTTGTCTATGTAATTTATTGATGAAAAATTCGTTCAATAGTCAATTGTATTTGTACAGTCTATAGGAAAAATATGAACTTTTTTGATTGATATATTTAGATGAAACTTTTCTTGTTATAAAGTAAAAACAATTCATATGGACTTTTCTTCAAGTTTTTACAAGTGCATTTACTTTAGGAAAATCATTCTTTAGATATACAATAAAAAAAAATACGCGTTCCTTTTTCATCAGAAATAACCCTTCCTTATTTGAAAATGTCTGCTATTAGTTACAATAGTTAGCCGCCATATTGAAATGACTAAACAGGGAAATGGTTAATACATCTAACATGATATTTTACGTAAAGGGAATGGTTTAGGAAAACTGGTAATCTGGTAAGCGCGAAAAGCTATCTTATTGTACAAAAAAGTCAATATTAAGGGTGATAGCAAAATCAAATTTGGTCGTAGTAATAAATATAATTTAATTTCTGCTTAACTTATCATGGAGGATCAACCAGACAGTCTCAATTTTAGCAATATAAAGCCATCACCGAGTAAAACACAACATAAACCGTTTTCAGGACTGCTAAGAGAAGTTTATAAATCGTATTTGACGGATAAAGATGGTAAAAAGTGGTTAAAATGATATTTTTCGATTCTATTTTAGAATTTCTTTACAGAACTTTCAAAAACTGTCTTGGCTCTCAGAAAACAACTCGAAGAATCTAAGAATAGAATAGCAGGGTTGGAAAAAGAGAGAGACTCAATACTCGCAAAGGGAAAAAAGTATTCAGAAAAGTGTGATAAACTCCATAATGACACTGAAAAATTTAAAAATGAAATCGAGATATTAAGAGAACAGTTCGTATTTAATTTTTTAACATAAGTAATAAAACTCATTGCAATATACATAGATTGAAAGGTGGTTGTCCCAAGTGCCAAATTCTAGAAGACCAAGTTAAAGAGATAAAGAAAACGAAAGAAGTTTACGAAAAGCTACTTGTTTCTCAAAAGAGTTTGTATATTTCTTCCTTGTTCATCGCACTTATTCTAAATATTAGTCTTTTCAACAGAACTTGAGTCAATACCATCAGCTATGGTTGAAAATACAATGCCAGATTCTTATGGAACGGTATGCGTGAATGATACACCAGATCCTCAAGCTACACCGACCAGAAAATTTGTTGCGCCTACACCCTTGAGAAGGTTATTAGCTTCCTAAAACATTAGAGCGTTGTTGAAGTCAAATTTATCCTTCAGATCACCAAGGCGAAGGTTGCAGCGAATAGCTGAAGAAACTCCCACTCCTTCCGGTAGTCGAAGCGCTAAAAGAGGAGCCATCAGTGAAGACGAAATAATTCCTATGTCGCCTGAACAGGTTCTTTCAAAGCCTAAAAGGAAACGGATTAACTCAACGCTTTCAGATAGAGTAACGGAAGAGAAAAAAAAAGAGAAAAAAAATGAAGCTGAAAAACTCGACAACATAAGCATAATTGAAAATACTGAGGATCATTATAGCGAAGTTATCATTACTAGCAGCAAAGGAAAAAATGAACAAAGAGTAAATCAATTAAAAGTTATAGAAACCTCTGTAGATCATATTGTTCCAACCTCTAATGAAAAAAATCAGAAGAGCACCAGTACAACTCAAGATTCTATCTCAGTGACAACAAATAGTACTATTGAAGATGAACCTAAGAGGATGGGAACAGAAGAAATATTTCTAGCTTCTGATACTGAAGATAATGATATGGACAAAGTTAATGGTATTCGAGAAAAATTTGAGGCAACCTATCATGAAGAAAAAGGAGATAGCCAAGATATAGATATTATTAATGAATCGAAGCACACAATAAATGATGATTCAGTATTTCAGAAAGGAAATTTAGACTCTTCCTTTCCAATTAATAAAATAAGGGGTATTAATAAAAAAATGTATCATTCAAGACGAGGTACGAAGAAGCAAGCAACGTCATTATCTAATATATCTCAATCAAGTAAATATAATACAAGAACCCGTTCACAAAAATCAAGCCCCGAAAAAAGCGCAGGTAATACGAAACGAAAAAGAAATGTGTCGAGATCAAACATTTCGCAAATCTCAAGAGCAAAAGAAAACAACTCGAGTATTAGCAGTTCAATATCTAGTACAAGAAAATCAACCAGGCGGACAAAAGTTCATAATGAAGACGAGGAATTACAAGAAGCCCTACGATTATCAAAAATGGAATACGAAAATTCTTGTTCTAATAATACTATAGATTCTGAAGAAACAATAGTAGAAAGCTTTTTGGGTTCGACGTATGTAGAAACATTATTGTTTAATTTGTTTCCTTCGTTAATCCAGAATATTTCAGCATACCATCTTCCAATATGACAACGGATAGCAGCTTATTACCTTTGGAAAGAGAAGTTATAGAGTAACTAATTCTAAATGTTTTGTTTATGGAAATCTTTACAAGTCAATTTATAAATAGAAAATTGAAACCTAAGAAGCCAGAGTTCGCTCAAGTTGAGGTTGCAAGGAAGAAAAAAGACCGAAAAAACATGGATGCATCACCTTGCTTTCAATGTGAAGCCGTAAGATATCTAAATTAGAAAATGTTTCCTTGCTTTTTAGATAAATTTTACTATTTCAGTATTTTGCCGATTTGGATCCTCTTGAAAGAGCTGAAAAACTAAAACTATGCAGACATAAAGCCAATTTTCGCAAACCGTCAACACCCGAAACATATTGGAACGTTGGATTCCCGAATACTGAACATTGTGTTGAAAAAGGTTAGATTTTCAACATAATCTGGTTACTTTTTCTGAACTTTTCAATATTTGCTGTTTTAGGCTATATGAATACAACTCAAACAAAACCATCAAAATTCAGAAGGAAAAAGGCTTTCAAACAGTTATTTGAGAGAAAAGAAGGCAATGAAGATTATACAGAAGAGAGAGATGAAGAAGAAGAGGAGAATGTTCATTAATATTTTTTATTACAGCTTATTCTTTTTTGAAAATGAAGCATATGACTTTTTTTTTGTATAATTTCGTTTTATTTCAATTTATTTGAGGTCAGTCTCGTTCAACGTTAATACTTTTCCGATTCTCTGTTCATCCACTTAGAGAATCGTAAGAAAAACTTAGGGAAAATGACTTAACATTCCTGTGTCATATAATGAAAATAAACAAGGTATGAAATATTTAGTTCAAAAAACTGTTAACGCATTATATCTATCTGGTTTAATTAGCGTAAGATAAATCCAACTAAAACTTTAGTTCATTGAAAACTATTGATTCATTGACCATATGACCGATGAATGATCGGTTAATAAAATAGGCGCCATCTACATGAAAAAATAGTTCACCAGGTCGAACGATGAGGAACTCTTTCTAAATTTACTATTATTCGATCAGCAAGATGCAAATAACTATTGATTACACATGGAAAGTGGTTATTGATATAATCATAGCAGTAGTCCGTAAGTTAGATGGAGGGTGTCTCTATAAAATCGAAATATAAACCATGATATTTCAGTTATTATTCCCTCAATCGTTTTCAAAGCGACTGGTAAGCCATTCCACAGAGGATTTTTCTGTGACGATGAGTCCATAAGAAGACCATTTAAAAGTGATACAATTTCTACACCTGTTCTTTTCATTGTCGGTGGCGGTCTACCTTTTTTTGGTGTAAGTTTTTTTACCGTTACTATTATGATCATCTTTATTGTTAATATTCTATGATAAAGTTTCTACCCTTCAATATAGATAATTATCAACGAAGTTTTTCTGAGGAATATAACGAAAATTCGACGAAGTGCAACTACAGTATCAAAATATGCTTTGTGTTTGGGAAAATCCACTCCTATAATCTTATTAACACTATATGTATATATAGCACCATTCGTATTTGGCTGTGTTATCTGTCAATGTTCGACAGATATTGGCAAATATATGATTGGACGTCTTAGACCTCATTTTATAGATGTTTGTCAACCTGATTGGAGTAAAATAAAATGCACCGAAAATAATTTGCCTGTTTATATTACTGATATCGAATGTCTTGGAAAGGATACAAAGCATATAAAGGAATCAAGATTGTCTCATCCTTCAGGACATTCATCGTTTAGTGTCTATACTATGCTATTCTTTGCCGTAAGTATTATGCTGCAAAGATATTATTATATTTATATAGCATAATATTAGTAATTATGAGTAAAATATAATCTTGCATTTCTTATCAGTTCTATATGCAAAAACGATTGAAAATTGGATGGAATCGATCAATCAAATTTGGACTGCAGTTTATAGTGATGATGCTTGCAGTGGCTTGCTGTCTTAGCCGTATAAGCGACTACAAACATCATTGGTCTGATGTCTTAGGAGGAGCTATTCTAGGAACCATAGTGTGCTTATATACTGTAAGATAAAAACACTCTACCTAAACGATAAGTGATAAAACTTTGTCCCATTATCTACTTTTATAGGTTTTTAGCGTTTCGATTTTATACAAGAAGAACATTGAAGAAGTAGAAAAGAATGAATTAGCAGCAAATGAGCGAGCCGAAAGGGAACAGTCATGCAATCTAGGTTCTTGTTCGGAACCTTAATAATCTATAAATTTTGAAATATTTACCAAATTATAAAAGAAACGACAAGAACCAATCCTGGTTAGAAAGGATCATTTTATCTCCTTTTTCCAGTTATGTAAGACAAACGATAATTTATTACACCGAGTTTCATTGAAATGAAAAAAGTTTTTTTTGCGCGAAAGCCTTTTATTAGAGATTCTCTTTTACATCTCAACAGAACACGTGTTTTTTGGGAATAATCATCTGAAGTCTTTAGTTTTTTTCTATAAACCTTCTAATCATAAATGCTTGATCATCTTTTGCAAAACCAAAATTTTCGTAGAATCCAACCTTATCGTGCTTACATTCAAGAGATAACTTATAAACTCCTAACAATTCGCCTAATAATACTAAGAGTTGAACAAGTAGTTTTCCTAACTGTTTTCCCCGATAATCACCGTTGACAACAACATCTTCAATTCTTCCTCTCTGACCTGCAGAATGAATAAACTTTTGTTCGAATATTAAACTACTCGATCCAACTATTTTGTTTGTGGATTTGTCTTCTATAACCAGTATATAATACGTTCCTTCACATCTTTTCATATCTTCAAATCTTTTCTTAAATTGTTCTTCCGTGACTATACCAACTTTAGTCAACTGACTCATAAGTAATAAATAATCTCGATGTATATCATCATCTCTTAAAGGACGTACAACCAATCCATCTCCTGGTTTCTTATATGAAACCCCATTCTGAAAGTTGCACTTTATTTTACTCCAGTCTATTTCTTCTAAAATATTAGGATCGAAAAGATAATTGATTGTACCATTTATGGGTTCTTCGAAATTTGTCATCTTTAGTATTGTGTCTCTAAAAACTATCCTGTCAATAATTCTGCAGATAAGAAAAAATCGAACGCGATTTTACACGCGTAGCCGATCACGTGACAAAAATGGCTACACAAGTAGATTTTATTTTAAAGCATACTAAAATGTTAAGAAATATCGAAAAGAGTAGTAAAGAATTTATTGGAGTAGTACTAATATACGAAAATATCTCTTAAGGTCAACCTAGAAGTAAAATTTATCAATGCTAAATCAACAGTCAACGTTCTTAGCTTGTATTTAAATTATTTTTCAACTTTTTTTTTATTAAAAAAAAAACAAAGCTTTAAATATTTACTTTTGTAATATTATTTGATTTTTTAAAGTAGATTTTTTACATTATTTTGAAAAATTTCGAATCATTTTTAGCAAACACCGTTCCAGATTAGTCATATTCGCAATTGCAGTATCCTTGATTCTGTTTACTCTTCTGCATTTCGAAATATGAATGTTGATCCACTCGCCGTCTATTTTGTTACATCAGGAGCTGCAGGAAATGCATTGTTATTTAAATATCCTCATGAAAATGAAAAAGAAGAGTGTTTCGAAGTGGTTATATATTTTACCTTTGTTTCGTTGTAAATTTATCTTAATATCGCCCGTATTTTTCTCTAAAGTTGGAAGAAACAGAGAATATAGACTATGAAAATTGCGAATTACCAGTATCATTATTTGATGACTTTAGAATAGAAAGGTGATTAATTGTATATATTCTAGTTTTACTATTTACTCTTTCTAAAAAAGATATAAACAATTTTTAATACTTAAAGATTGTTTAAAACAAGTTAACGATCCAAACAGGCTTAAATCTGCCTCCAATTTAAGACAAGGCAGAACAGTGGACATTGAGGACATTACAATTGAACACCTTCTAGCTGTCAATAATTTATTATGCAACAATAAATTTGAGCTTAAAATAAGTGATGTCATATTTGTTGGTTTTCCTATTCTTGCATTGCCGGAACACTCAACGAGGAAGGATTCTACAAGTCTGATGTCTTTTCACATAGCATTTGCCTTGAATGTAAGTTAAATATTCTTTTTAATTAGCAGATGAACTATATGTTTTATTTTTCTCTTTTAGGGAAATTCGTCTAGTCACATAATTGAATTATATCAGGAACTTTCTAGGAGATTAGCAGTATCTTTGCGATTTGAACAAGAACGTTGTAATTATTTATCAGATCAAAAAAATTTAATATGGGCAATAAGAGACGAAATAGACAATGTACCAGAAGGTATTTTAATGTTTAATTACAATACTGTAAATAGCAAACTATATACAACATTCGAACACAATTTTTCTTCTTCAAGATCAAAGAGAGTGTCCTTTTAGACTAATCCTGCAGGATGACAAATGTACAATTGCACTTCTTCTTCGGGAGGTTTATTTAGGGTAAATAAATTTAAAGAGAAACATTATTGAATATCTTAATTTATGAATTACGTTTGTTGTCTTTATCTTTTATATTTAGCCTATGCAACACCGGAATAGTTGAAGTGAGAGTGAATAATCTAGTTCGTGTTAGTTTTTGTATTCCAGAAAAAGTTCATAATCCATCACAACAAAACTTTGTTATTTCGGTAATAATAGAATTTTTCCTACTTTTAATTACCAGTTTTGTATTTGTGTATAAAATGTATATTTATTTGTTTGAACAGTTTTCACAAATTGAACGACATATAAATTCAATTAGGTAAGGTATTCTCTTCTAAATTAACTTTATTAATAATACAGTCTTCCCTCTTTTTTCAAATCTACGTAGACCTTATCATAGTTTTATTATTACTGAGAAGAAAGAAGACCTTTTACAAAAGTTACAACCTGAAGCAAATCCAAATTTAGTACGAATTATCAAAGTTGCAAATGTTACTAAAAGTTTACCTGAATTAGCAAATTTAGCTGATTTACCTATTCAACATGTTGAGTATAATTTATTTACCTATCTAGAATATTTATTATATTATTAATCTGTAGATTTAAACTGCTTTTTATTTTCTCTATTTAGGTTTTCGATTCTGTAGCTCATCTAGTTTATTGGGGCAAGGCTTTAGTTATTTATCCCCTTTGCGAACATAATGTTTATTGCGTTTCTCCATCTGCAGATTGTAGACCGTAAAGATTAATTTCTATATTTATAATCTAAATAATTTTTGCTTTTTTTATTCCTTTTCCGTTAGAAATTCAACTTTAGCTGATTCATTTTTTGATGAATGCAAACGTAAATTACCCGATGTTCTTTCGCAATTCTCCTTACCAACTCGAGTCGGTGACTTATTCAGCGTATTTAATAAACGTCAACAAAAAGTAATATTTACTATTTAGACATTTAATTATTTAATTAATAATTCTTATTAACTTGTTTATATTTATATAGATGCAAATAACAGAGATAATCAAATGGTTGTTAAGGCATAAACAAATAATTCAACATCACACTTATGTTTATTTGGAGAAATATGATGAAAAACCAAAAACAAATCCAATTTCTATAGAAGTTAACGATTCGATTAATGAAGAATTAAATAAATATCCAGATATTAAAGATATATTACAAAGCTGTCCTGCTGCACAAAATGAAGAGGATCTAAAATTATTTCTTTCGTAAGGACCGATCAGTTTTCATCTTCTTATCTTAAGTTTATTATTTTACTGATATATATATATATATATATATACATATAGGATAGTACCACATCTGAATGGTGAACATCATATAGAAGATATAATGTATAGAGAAAATATGAAAAGATCAACAATTCTAACAATACTAGACAAGTTTAGAGATGTAGTTTGTGTGAATGAAAGAGAAGACGCCGGAATTTCGTATTGGATAAGTTAAGAGTAATGGAGTTTTGTAAATTAAGGATATAAATCGTTAACAATTATTATCAAGATCAAGTTTAAGAGTCGAGAGAATATATCAAGAATTATTTCGTTACTTTTTGTAATATTGAACTGTTTGGAGAAAAAACAAAAAAAAAACAGAGCAAAAAGAATGAAGGAATTATAGAAGATTTTTAATAGTATAAAACATATTAAATAAACAATTTTTTAATTTATTTTAACAATTCACTAAAATTTGCATATTCATTTACTTCTATAGAAATTTCTGTAAAAAAAATTTGAATATATTAATATGCAAATAGTTTTAACGTTTCAACAAATGTTTTTTTATTTATCATTTCCAACAATAACTTATTGACAATTTGGGAAAATATAATAAAAATAATGACTTAAAGAGTGAGGTTTGCTCATATTAAAATATTCCAATTGAATCTCAGTTTTCGAAATATAAAAAGAGAAGATAAACCTTCAATAAATATGACTGATCTTCATCGTATGCTTAATCAGATAGGTTGAGATCTTTGAGTTTGTTATTGAAGAAAGTATTCAAACGATCAGCACACCGATAGTATTCTGTTGTTGAGTCATTATATGCTCGACAATTTGTAAATATACGGTTAATATCGGCGATAAATAGTCTTTTATGACAATAATAGCCAGCTTTTAATCGTTCTGATACTGTTCGTAGGTCTGCAAAATAGAAATTTGAAAGTTTGTAAGCGAACGCCAATCAATTGAAAATTTACCCATTGGAAATTTAATATGATCGTAATAATCGGGAACCTCGTCCTTATCGACCGGTTTTAGAAAAGGCCAAGCACTAGGATGAGCCTATAAAAATAAATTAAAAACAATTCGTTTAATAGTACGATATCAAAGAAAAAAATGAATTATTAAATTATTACTTTAAGGTAGTTAATAATTGTCTTCATAGAGCTGTGCATCTGTTCGGTGGTCATAGATGTATCGTTGCTTCTAAATTAGGAAAAATATCGACTATATTAGTAATTGTCAACTGGTAAAAATGTAAAAAGTAACATACATTTCTGAATCTGCTCTCCATTCGGCTTCTATAATTCCAGGAATGGATTCTATGGGAATTTGCTTAACTCCATCTTTAAAGCAAGTTAATCCTGGATATTGTTTTTCTATTATCTTCTGTTTTTTTTCTTTTAATTTTCTAACAATCTGAAGAAAAGGATTCATTCTTATTAAAAGAGAAAAATATGGATAATATTTTCTTACTTGTTTTTGCTTTTTGATTATTTGACTAATGGACGTATATATGATATTTGGATTTAGTTGACAGCACATCAGAGTTGCACCTTCATACTCTTTAATGAAACCCACATATCTATTTTTAGGTAATGATATATTTTTTGTAAAGCCTTGCTTCTGAAAATAACCAGTGGCGAATTCGTCGGCGTACGTGAGAAAATGGAAAACTTTATTCTTGACATGATAGTCTTTTAAATGATTCATTATATGAGTACCGTATCCTTTAACCTGCTCATTGGCCGTAACAGCACAGAATACAATTTCGGTAAATCCCTGAGTTGGAAACATTCGAAAACAAATTCCACCAATTACTCTTGTATCTTTTATTAATGCTAAACAGGTATGTTTAGGATCGAACACTAATCGTGTAATATATTCTTTCGGCATTCTAGGCAATTGATGGGAAAACACGTTTTGAAGACCAATTAACCATAATAAACATTTTTTATCAACGTCTCTCTTGAGACTATTAGAAATGACATGCAATTCAATAATGCCCTTTCTTTCCTCTATTCTAGCTGCTTCGTCGCGAGCTCCGTGTAAAACAGGAGTACCAACTTCCGGTGTATTTTTTTCAGGTCCAACAAAAATTCCCTCATTCTCTAGCTCTTCTATAACTTCGTCAAGTGTCTCACTTGCTATATCTCCTTCGGGCGGCTTATAAGCTCTGAGAATATATTTAAAAAAACAACAAATTAATAAAGACTATGACTGTTTGTAAAGAAGAAAGTAAAACATATATTTACAATTTAGTTGCAATTCCAAGGCTATCGTCGCTATCCGAATGATATAATTTCCTTTTTGTTGTCGTAGAAACATTTCTACTTTGCTGAGCAGCTATTCTTCTTGAAGAAGATCTACTCTCTGAGATTGTGTAATTCATTCCAGGTTCTGATTTAACTACTTTTTTGGTAAAACAGTACATTTATAACAACAAGCAATTTGAAAAATAGATTAAGTTTACTTGATTTCGGAGTAGTATGGCTTCTAGAATTGCTATCTACGTAAGCATCATCCCAGATTGTTGAACTTTTATTTACAACTTCCGCTTCAAGATTCTCTAAAAAGACTGGCATATGCTCGAAAATAATATTTCTTTTTTCAACAGGCATTCTATCCTTCTCGGATGTTAATTTTGTCATTAATTGGGTTGAAACACTAGTAAATATTGTCTGGAGTAATGTTTTGCCAAATATTTCGCATAATTCGTGCTTTGGTAGCGAATCACACATTACAGGCACATGGCAATAGCAAAGCCATCTATAAAGACATTAACTATTATATATCTTGTATGATTTAAAAGGGACGAGCTAATAGAAACCTTGTATAATTCATTTTGTAAGTTGAAAATTCTTCTTCGGGGGAATTTTTCCTTTTAACAGAAGGAGTTTCTAATTTCCAATGATTAATATAGTGTAAGAACATTTTGGATAAATCGTACATATTTTGCCATTGAGTTTGATCCAAATTTCCATATTTAAATGAGACAAAATTCATTATTGCTTTTTGTATTGAGGGATTTTCGAAAGGGACTGAACCTAAATGCTCCTGAGCTTCATCTTTTGGATCAGATAAATTTTGAATACTCTTTCGAAATATCTAAATTAAAATGTAAATAGAGCGTTTTTTAAAGAACAATCACAAATTTCTCTCTTAATTCTCATTTGAATTTACCTTAAACATATAAAAATAAACTTGTTTAACGTCAGCATCCTCTTCCTTATGAACGCATCGATAAATATGTTCGAAATCTAACGTAATTCTTGTTAACTTTTGTAAAACTTCATCCTCTAAACTCTTTAGATGAGAAACATGGTTTTCTAAAGAAAGGTTAATGACTTTACTATTTTCTTTGATATTGTTAGAGTTATTTTCTTTTAAAATAAAGCTAATGAAAATGAAATTCTACAAACCGAAGGGATGACCACAGCGACAATTGCTTAAAAGTTCCACTGTTTCTTCAATATCATTTTCTTTGTTCATTTTCCAACCGGTGCATTTGCATTGATCCATCTGTAATCAATAAGTATTAATATTAAAAAAAAGAAAACACGGCTTGAGTACTAAGAATTCAGTATTTTGTTTACTTTGCACTGTGAATAAATGGCAATTTTTTCCACCATCTTCTCTCTTGATAAATTTTTAATTTGTTCCTTTCTTTGGGTGATTTTTTGGAGGTTAGATAGTCGGGCTGGTTCGACGGAATCATTAGAACTAGACTCGGAGGTAGAATTACGGGATTTCGATGGTTTTTCACAGTCCTCGGTTGAGGCCATTTTTGCTAGAGTTGGTTGAGTAGAAAAGTTGGTTCCCATCTCCGAATGATGCTGTCCCCTCATAATTTAGAACATTTCGGCACGGAACTAGTAACCGATTTAAATACGAAATAGGACGAGTTCCGTCAAGCACTATAACAGGGTAGTGAATATTCATATATTTCGAAACTAATTCCATTTACTAGCGGTATCCATATTAAAAGTTCTATTTTTTTTTACATCCGAAAGAAATACAAGAGAAGCTTGCACTCATTGAACATTTTAGAAATTTAATTTTTAATTTTGAATAAGATTACAACAAACGTAAAATTCTGAAAAGTTTCTGTCAAATAATACTTTTTTACTACATATTACAACGTTTTCACTAAACCTTGCAGATACTTAAAATAGTTAATAGTATAATCTACAGAATTTAAATACAACTCAAAAGTAATTTAGGCAAGTACAAACCTTCACTTAGAAACCATTAAAAGAGGTATGAACTTTTACGGTAGTAATACCAAGAAGAAATATAGAATAATGAATATTCATTACGCATTTACTGAATGCTAAACCAGCTAGCTTAGAGAATTTCGTCATGGCATGAAAATCTATAGAATGTCCATGGACAATGTTTATTGTGAAATCCCCCAAACTTTTTTTTATAATCTCAAAAACAATATCTTTACTTACGCAAATATAACGCAGATAAAGCATTTAAGCAATTAAAACATGTCACTTTCCCAAGAAGATATTAGTTAGCCTATGTAGATGTAGTAGTCGAAATAGTTGTTTTCCTACGAGAGAATAGCCTAATAGAAATAATCCAATATGGAAAGATTCATCGAAAAGGGGAAATTAATAAAAAAAAAGGGAAAGAAAAACAGAATTAAACATGTAATAGCCTGTCAATTGAAAGAGTCAGTCTGCGAAAAAAAATCATATAATACGAATTACAGTAATAATTACTTGATTAGACATGTTTATAACAAGTTGAATTTGCTATTATATTCTTTAAAAGACAATGTGATTAGTGTTTCAACATGGCTGGACATGAAAAAACTTGTTTTGATTTGATGTTTCAGCAGCAAAACTTTTGAGAACAATTTCTGACACGTTAGAACAGGAGTATTACAAGTAAAATACTGTTTTTGTCAATAACTTTCCGTTTATATACAAGAAAAAACGTAATACGTTTATTATAACTTATTAGCATACTCTTATGATCAATGGATAGTTTTTTTATCAGTTACAGCATAGATATGATTGTCTATTTTTTATCACCACTTGTAATAGCATAACTAATAAAAATTGAAGCAATACGCAAATGAAGAGTGAAAAGAAGCTCTTTTCCTGTGAAATGTTAGTTTGTATATACTGTATGTACAGTATGTAAGGCACGATACAACAAATAGCAAGCTATGTAAAAATTTTTTTGGAATTCGAAATAGTAAAACTAAAAAATTTACAAATTAAAGGAAAATGTTAAAAGGGAAATTAAAAATAAAATCGATAAATCAATTTTGTCGAAAATCGCATATTAACTCTTCCCCAGTTTGTATATTTCTCTTGGCAAATAGTCCAATTCTTGGAAAAGTTGTATCGTATTGGTTGATGAACACTTTGGCGTAAATTAAATTGGCCTCAGAATCCCGTCTTACGAATCGTCCTATATTTGAAGCCACATCGGTTGTTAGGAATAAACTCGTTTGTTTTGATATTGAAACTGATATTTCATTTCTGCTCTCTTTTTCATAAATACCATTAAGTTCGCAGATGAAAGAACCTTTTGGAATGAATTGACCAGATCGGAGAGACCATCTTCTGTCGCTTGTGCGAAAAACCTCCAAATTATATTGTATTCCCTTACTTAGAACCCTATTTTTACAGCGATTGTTCCAGCACGGGCAGAGTACACTGCATTCAAATATAGGTCCAGAGACTTTCGATTTAAGACGACCATTCTCATCATAACATCCGTGTAGTTCGGAGCAAGAACAATTTTCTGAACAATCAAAGGAGCAAGAACAGAATCTATTCTGACTTACAATTTCATTATAAACAACGCGAGAAGATCCGTAATTGCGAATTATATATTGGAAAGCGTCCACTTTCGTTTCGGCGTCGATTCCGTTAAAAGCCGGTATTGCCATTTTTTCTCTTCCATTTGACACATCTTCACTAACAATAGCTTCGAAATTTGTTCTATTATCAAACATAGACAATAGATGAATTTTATCTTTTGGTAGGAGATCGAATGCGGTCTCTCCTTGTTGATTCTTATGTTTAACGTTTGTCCCTTCAATTCCTGCAAGGTATTCAGCAATATCGTGATGTTCCTGACGTAAAGCTATGTGAAGTGGAAGATCTCCAGCATTGTTAGGTATTCTTGGATTACAGCAGGTAGATACAAACAAATGAACCAATTTAAAAGAACCACCGTAAGCAGCCCAATGTAAAGATGTCGAACCTTCGATATCGGCGTGATTGGGGTTAGCACCCAATGACAATAGAAACTCAGCTACATTTTCACACCGGTTTTCACTGCAGTCCATAAGAGCAGTATAGCCGCAGTTGTCCTCAATATCCACGTCAATCAAATCTGTTATTAATTTTACTACCTCTAAATCATTCGACAAGGCAGCCATATGCAAAGCCGTTCGTCCATCAAGATCTAAATCACAGATGCATGCACCATAATTCAACAATTGTTTAACAATGTCAAGATTCCCAATTTTAGACGCAATGAGGAAGGGTGTACGGCATTCATCATCTCTTATACTTAACGACGCTCCTGCCCAAAGAAGAATGTCAACGGCAACTATATCACAGTTTTTCACAGCTCTCAATAGAGGAGTTAATCCTTCGCTTATTTTATCAAGATCAGCACCATTTCTTATACATTGCAAAATTCCACTAGTATCTCCATGCTTAACAGCTGCATGTAGATTATTGTATGTCCGACTGCTGGAAAATGAATCGTTGCTAACTGAAATAGTTGCAAAAGATCTTTGTAATTTATTCCTTGCTTCATCGCTTAAAGAATATGTTTTTTTTTTAATTTTCATTTGAGCTGCTCCGTGTTTTTCAACAATTTCTCTTCGAATAGCCTCACTACAATATTTCAGTGTAAACAATTCTTCTTTCCAATTCTCAGAATCACAATGTTCGCATTTTTTCACTTTTACACTATTAGCACATCTGACGTGTGTTAAATGCTTCTTTTCACAAACGTAAAATTTACCAAGTAAACAATGCTGACCGCATATTGTACAGCAATGGTGTTTTTTGGCAATTTCGGTATGTTTCTCACACATAACAACATAAGGTAATCGTACATGAATTCTAAATACGTTATTAGAAAAAGCTAGTTCACAGCACATACGACTTTTCATATAAATAGAATCTGTCATTTGACATTGTTGTTTTTCTCCATCATTCTGAAGTTGTATTTGGGAACATTTGCAAGCCGAATTGTCGGCTTCATAATCTACCGGTTGCTGTAACTGTAAAGGTATACTGGGCATGACACCGGTGTTTATTACTGAGGTAACGTCTACTCTAGGAATTTGATCATCGCTTTCAACATTTGTGCCATTTTTTTCTATGTGCTTTAATGATGAACTGGAATGTTCAACAAAGGCATAAACTTCCGAGACATTTTCGAGAGAAACTCTGCTCTTTCGTAGATATTTTAAAAATTCAATATCGCTTCTAGGCGATATATCAACAGTCTTTTTCGTTTGCGAGTCATCATCCATAGGTTCCTCAACCGATGAGGCTGATGGGGTTTCATCATCTGTGATAAATGATAAATCATTTGGATGAGGATTTGAATGTAAGGTCTCTGAAAGCGACAAGATTGTATTGAGCGATAATAGGCGGTTAAGAGTATAAAATACCTGTACAACTCATTTTTTAGAACAAAATCGACAGAGATTATAGTTCAAAGTTATAGATTATAGTTTAATGACTAATCGTACTGTTTCACACATTTGTCGGATCATATCCTGATGATTTTAATTTGAAAATATATACAGTTTCTAGAAGAACGTGTACAATGCGCATGCGTAAACCACCAAATAACTAGTATTTCATAAAGTGAATATTTCATGATATAAATTAACTTTAATATTTATTTATTGTTAAAAATTTCAAAAAGGTCACATCATATCTGTAATTTCTATATTGTTCATAGTTCTTTTTATTTATGTAACCCCAGGTCTGAAAAAAAAAACAAGTACTCTAGAAATGACACTACTCGTTAAGCAGAACTAGCTTTAGTAAGTTACAAATCTCACTCAGTGGTGTAGAGCAGTCATGAGAGGGTAAATATTTAATACATTGGTTTTAATGTTCATTTTATTGAATTTAACTTTTCCCTTCCTTTTCATAATTTCAACAGATTAAACGTAGTGTTGACCGTAGCTTTGTCGATAGTCTCGGTTTTCACAAGCAAAGCTGAAGATGAAATGTTTAAAGAAGCTTTAAAGGATTGGAAAAGAAAAATTGAGAGAGATACAAAGCAGGCGTTAGGTTCAGAATATCACAATGGTTGTATCTTTCCAAATGGTATGGAATATGGTAGTTTGGTTGGGGAGTCTGGTTATCTTCTTGAGCATATTGCAAAATATAAGAAACAGTAATTGATTTAAATACTGTATATTCGAAAAAAATAATCTACATAACTTTTTATATCTACTTTAGAAAGTATGGTCATTATTCGCGGAGAGATAGACCACTTCCACGCACCAATCATAAATTAGAACCAGATGCCCCGTTCCTACATCCTATTCCTAATACCTGTCCTTGGCCCGAGTACAACTGTGACCCTAATAGCTTTTACAGGTAGTATATTGTATACAACATCAGATTGAACAAAATATTTAATTAATTATATTAATATTAGGAGTTTTAGCGGAGCTTGTAATAATTTGAGATATCCAATCATTGGACGGTCATTTACACCTCTTAGAAGATTTCTACCCTCAGATTTCGGCGATTGTAAGTTCAAACAGTTACCAACGAAATGTATGAAATAGCTTGTTATCTGATAAATAATTTTATATCTAAATAGCTATTAGCTCTCTGAGGACTGGTAAAAACAATAAACCTTTGCCTTCCGCTCGACTTGTTAGTCTTACTATTCATCAACAATCTAATGATACAAAGCATAATAAGTTTTTGACTTGCGCTATAATGAATTATGGACAATTTTTGGATCATGATTTATCTTTTACGGCTACTGCAAAAATTACGGTAGGAGAGAAAAAGATTAATCCGGATTGTGGAGAAAGTTTTTGCGAAACAGTTTTAGAAGAATGCGAACCAATTACAATTCCAAACGATGATCCAATTTTTAAACCTTCAAGATGTTTAAAGTTTATACGTTCGCAAGAGAGTCCAAATTTGGCCTGTTCAATTGGACCAAGGGAACACGTTAATCAACTATCAAGCTATATTGACGCGTCAAACGTTTACGGTTCGACGAAGCAGCAAGCAGATGCTTTAAGAAATTTTGATGATGATGGCACTTTAAGATCAACACCAACAACAGGTCACCACCATTTGCCAATAGGGAATCTAGATAAATCTTGCAAGAGCTTCAATAATGATAAAGAAATGTGTTTCGATGCTGGTGACGTAAGAGCTAACGAACAGGTTTTGCTCATCAGCCATCATACATTATTTATGAGACATCATAATTATTTAGCGAAAGGATTGAAATATGTCAACCCCTCTTGGTCGGGAGAAAAAGTATTCCAAGAAGCTAGAAAGATTATGGGGGCTATTATGCAAATAGTGGCCTATGATGAATACTTACCAGCTATCTTAGGAAAAGATCATATGGCTAAATATGAATTGAATTTGGCACCCGCAAAAGAGTATTATTATGGTTATACTTCGAAAGTTGACCCGTCGATTAGAACTGAATTTTCAACAGCTGCCTTTAGGTTTGGTCATGCTCAAATTCCAAATCACCTAACTATAAACAACACTAATATAGAATATTCAAGGGTTAGAGTTTAATTAATAACACAGACAAGCAGATACAAACAATATTTCAATATTATTACTTGTTTTATAGCTCTTCTTTCAACCAACAAAATCTGTACATTTAGGACAAGGTAACCTTTTAAAAGCGTCTATTGAGAACGACCTTAAGAATGCTGATAGAGTTTTTTCAAAAATAATCTCGAGTCATATGTTTACTGCTAATCCACCTTTTGGTACTGGAACTGATCTGCCGTCGTTAAATATTCAAAGGGGTCGCGATCATGGTATACCAGGTAGGATGCGAATATTTTTTAGTTGAATCCCTATCTATAGTTTCTTTCATACGTTTGATCTTCTATAGGCTATAATGAATACAGAGATTTCTGCGGTTTGTCTAGAGCTTATTCCTTTAACGGACTTGTAGATATTCCACCGAGTATTCGTACGAAATTTTCGCAAATTTACGAGTAAACTCCTTCTTTACATTTAAAGTCATTGCACATTTATTTTCTAATTATTCAATTTGTTTTGAAATAGCCATGTCGATGATATTGATTTATTCGCTGGAGCAATGAGCGAAGTTTTGGTAGAAGGTTCTCAAGTAGGACCAACTTTTCAGTGCATTATTGGTAGACAGTTTAAAATGCTGAGGAAAGGTGATAGATTCTGGCACGAAAATCCAGGTCAATTTACTATGCGTAAGTAACTTTTGAAAATAAAAGCGTTCTTCACTACAATACCATATTAAGAGAATATCTATAATTTTGTTCATATGTATCAATTATATTTTTACTATTGTAGCCCAATTAACTGCTTTGCGAAAGGTTAAATTGTCAAGTATTTTGTGCGCAAATACGAATATTGTTGAAATTCAACCCGAAGTCTTTAAGAAACCTATTAGACAAGTCTTCCCAGATATTCAGTAAATATATATGTTTTTTGTTTATAATTTGTATTAAATAATGCATGCAAATTTTTAGGGAGTTAATCGACTATGTCATGAGCGAAGGAAAAGAGCTATCAGAATATAAGCTACTGTGGGATTTGAACTATAACGCGGTTGTTGATTGTAACATTATTCCAGCTTTCGACTTCACACCGTGGGCAGATGGAGCTTAATTCGGATTCTTTCTTATTTCTGACCGCAAAGTGTGCTTTAACCTCTTTTCATTTTTACTAAATTCAATGTAAAAATAAAAGACCAAAGAAAATACTTCTTTCAAAAAATTTATTTTATTATTTTGCTTTACATCTTACAATAGTTTCGATATTACCAACATCCACGTCGGAATGGTTTTCTATATGGCCGACTGAAGTTGCGACGATTGTCGTATGGCCTTCTGATAAACTCACAGCTTCTTCCTCTAAAAGGGTTTCTAAAATTCGCATCTGGTAACAAAGGTACACTATGATTTGGCGATATATTATCGCTTTCAGCCCCCCTTGAGATTAAATGTTCGTTTGGTAAACGTGACACTTCTGATTCAGAATTTTCTGGAAACTGGAATTGTACTTCAGACTTCTGAGGAAATTGAGCAATATCAGGGCGAAAGTTTATGCGAGATCCTTGACCTGGGGGATATCTCCATGCACCTTGTTGATCTCTTTGACCTCTATTTCTTGGCCAAGATTGGTAGTGTCTGTAACAGCCTCGCTTTAGAGTGTGATCCATTGGAGTTTGTAAAGGTATACGAGTTTGATTTATTTTATTATCAGCATGGGAAGTTACAGACTCTCTTCTAAACAATTTTCGAGCCAGATTAAGTAATTTTTGATGAGAAACATTGTCATACACAGCATTCTCAGGATTTGATGCTATTCTTATAATCAAAGATTCAATGGCTGGTCGTAAAGCAGTTATCTTTGCAGCAACTGTAGTTTTAATTTTCACTCTAATCCAATCATCTAGTAAAACGTTTTCTTCCCCCCAAGCTTTCACTGAACGAACACATAGCAACAATAGATGTATGGGAGTAACCATAGTCATTTGTTTGCATGATACTGCTTTTGTTCTAATCTTCTCTCCAAACACAAAAAATGGTGAGGAAGGTACCAGATCATCTTGAACGCAGTTTACGGATGATTTATGTATGAGAGCTGATTTATTTTCGGTTGTAATTACTTGCCGTCTTTTCTTATAAACACAAACGTTGGGATAAACAGCATAAGCCAAAAAGGCGGTAACTGTATCCAAATTTTCGTCAGGGCCATATGGATTTATATCTACTGAATTAAAACTTTCCTCGGAAAACCCGCTGTTTATAAGAATATCAATAAGTTGTTGTTTTGCTTCAGAAGCCATTCTTAAATTTCCAATATTCAAAGATTTATATTCACAAAAAGATGACTCTTCTTGTTCCCCATTTAAGCATGCCTGATACCATAGATCGTAAGCTTTCAGTAAGGCGACATGATCACTAAATCTATCCCCCGCCATACTTCTATGTTGATTGAGTAATTTTCCTTTTCTTTGGGGTGGAATAATGAATGGCTCTGGAAAAGTGCTCATAGCTGCAATTGTGCATGCCATGTCAGTGCAAGAAAAAGCGCAACAATACATAATCATTACTCCTAGCCGAGGTTCTATTGGCAGGCGAGCAAGTATTCGACCCAGAGGGGTTAACTCACATTTAGAATCAAGAGCCTTCAGGTTTTTTAAAACAACTTCCGCCTCAATGACCGTATCTATCGATGGTGGTTCTACGGTTTTCGCTAGAAAAGTACCAATTGATCCTAAGCGTAATAGCTTAATACTCAAAGCAATTTCATGTAAGGGAGTTCGCAATATTTCTGGAATTGAATGCTCGTCCAAATGGAAAAATCTTGCCTTCGTGCAAAGAACAAAACACTTTCCCGGCCTAACTCTGCCCGCTCTTCCCCGACGTTGCTCTAAACTAGTTCTAGAGGCCCATACGGTTGTATAGTTTGTCATATTATTGTGAGTTGTAAACAGTTTCCTTTTCACTTTGCAAGAATCTATTACAAAACTGACATCATCGATTGTTATTGAAGTCTCAGCAATATTCGTAGATAAAATAATTTTCGTAACACCATCATTAACATGCTCAAAAACTTTTCTCTGATCTTCCCTTGGTACCTGAGAATGTAATGGAAGAATAATATAATTACTGCTACCAAACGTCGCGTGTTGCTGAAGATATTTTTGAAGCATGACTATCCAATTCCAACCAGGCAAAAAAACAAGAATAGATCCAGGTATATTTAAACTCTTGATATGTATGAGCAAAGATTCAAAGAGTTCTACGGATATCTCTCTTTCACTTAACAAGGAAACGCTCTTTCGAGTTTCTGCACTATATTCTTCTGAAACTTTTAAATTCATATTTTCCGGATCTTCACGCCCCAAAACTAAATTGTCTTCGTCATCGTCATCCTCTCCAACGGGTAAAAATGAATTTGGCCTCTTTCGTTTTTTTGTTCGAAAAGTATCAGGTGTTGGCTTGAAATTCAACATTTCCACAATATCCTCGAGGAAATATCTTGTTACTGGATGTTGGCGACCATGAACCTGAACAATTTCCACTGAGCCAAAATAATCCGTAAAAAGTGAAGTGTCAACTGTTGCCGACATTAATACGACTCGTAACTGTGGATAGGATCTAACCATATCCCTCAAGATAACTAATAAAAAATCAGTATTTAAGTCTCTTTCATGAATTTCATCAACAAATACATGAGAAATTCCTCGCATGCCATTCTCGAGCTTACGCAATAGACTTCCTATGGTGCAATATAGCATACTTCCAAATGGCCTTGGTAATACTGATTCGAAGCGTACACTATATCCAACAGATGTACCTAAAGTTTCGCACCTTTCATAGCTAACTCTTTCAGCTATTGATATAGCACTAATCCTTCTAGGTTGAGTTATAACAATGTTGCAAGAACAACCTTTACCCATTTTAATAAAATGTTCCAAAACATATTGAGGTATTTGAGTTGTTTTTCCAGAACCGGTTTCTCCCCTAATCAAAACAACAGAATTCTTTTCTATTTTGTCAATAATTACATCTTTTAAAGAGTGTACGGGTAGTTGTTCACGAAATTTTTTCCTCCTGCCAAACTCCGCTTCTGTTTGCTGTTCATGAAAGTCATTTAGTAAATCCAAGCTGATTGAGTCTAAATTTTTATGGGCTAGGGGGCCTTCGTCAATATTCATTGCTTTCCAGGCATTCCAATTCCTTTGAGGGGGTGACCATTGCACAGTTCCGTTAGAGAAAGGTTCATCTACTTCTTCGAATGAATCTACAACTACATCACTTATCAATTGCGACGGAGTATCTTCAGAGAGTCCAACATCTTGAGGTGTTATATTAAACGAAGAAAGAACCTCGTCGATCTCAGCTTCTAATTCTTCTGATATTTTCATTTCGTACGGTAGAATTTCCATTGTCGTACATTTCTTCTTCTCACCATCATATTGTTCAATAATACCGAAATGAAATAGTTGACGCACAAGAGACAGAGCGCAATTTTTCGAAGCTATTTGCTTGTTAGAGCCATGCTCTCTTCCAATAAGGCTTCTTCCCAATTTACTTATGTAAATCTTCATTTCAGCTATAAAACTCCTGTGTTAAAATAAAATTATGATTGTTCTTTTTTTCGAACGTTTTTCTAGAGGAACGTCAACATACAGCACATATATTGGACAACATTTTTTATATACCTATTATGATCTGGCCCCAGAGTTGAGTACTGATAATCAGCTTTAATGTGATTTTTTTGAAAATATTCATTTAATCTCGATTTAGCATTATCCATTGTCCAGTTACCGTGAATTGCAGCCGTTAAGTCAACTTCTTCATTGGCTTCAACGTTCTTTTTATTTTGTAAAGCCATTAAATAACTAGACGGTACATCAGTCTTTTCACTATTTAAATTACTTAAATTACAATCGGTAGATTCCGCTGATCGAGAAGAATGGGGGTTTTGTGAATCGATTTGGAGAGCTCCATTTGAAGAGTGTGCAGAATTGGTACTTCTATTTGGCCTGGCTATTGAAGATACTTCAATTTCCGAAATTTCGCTTAAACGTACAAGAAAATTAATAAAATCATCCGCTGCATTACTTTGAGCATCTTTTTTATTCGTAGAATTCCCAATTCCAATATAATCATAACCTTGAACTTTTAATTCGCAAGTAAAACGCTGTCTATGCTTACTACCGGATGCTCTATACTGATACTGAGGGCTTAACTTCTTCTTCTGCATAAGCCATGTATGCAAAAATTGCTTGACGTTTTCTCCCATGGCTTCTGTCGATATAGTTAATGATGAAAGGCTATTTGCCTAATCATTGAGAGAAGATGCTATTGAACTGCATAGCCCTATAAGTAGCAAACTCGAATGGCCGTCGATTTAAGTCTTTGAGGATCGATTCGCGAAATTTATACCAGGTTTCGTTCAATAATACTTCTTTTTTAAAGAAACTCAAAGAGAATCTGTAACTTATTATTTAATATTTAACATAATATTTTTTAATAAGAAAAGTATCCGTTTAAATCGCTATCATAATGAGAATTCAAAATTTTTCAATTAGACGAAATATTCAAAAAGTAACACTGAAGGTGAAGGTGAAGGACAAACATTAGAAGTCAAGTCGTGGTTTAGAAAATTGCTCATATTTTATAATCGTTTTGTAATACAGCCGATATGATACCTGTTTGTAGCACAATTGCATAAAATATAATAATCCATAAGTTTCATTTACAATTTAATAGAGATAGTATTTCTTTTTAAATCTTTAGACTCGGCAAATATTACAATCTACTGCTGGAAAAGCTTTAAATATTCACAGAATGGCCGTTAACTCGGTCGCATCAAAATTGAACAGTCGTCAACCTTCACACTCGTTAAGAAATATACAATTGATTAAGTGGTCTCCCATAATATCGCCATCGTTATCTCTGGAGCAATTGGACTCAATGTTTAACTCGCAAAATTCTTGCTTATTTTCCACTGAAGTAAATTCGACCGGACCATCGCAAAAATCTGATAAAAACCTAGCTCATTTACACGCTATAAGAGAAATTCTAGTTGATCAACTACCAACAATGTTTATTAGACCCCAGGAATATGGAGCCTATGCATTAGATGTGATATTTGAAAATAATTATTGGAATCAGTCTTATAAAACAGTAGGTATTAAAAGTTATGTTTGGGAGATGGCCAAGATAAGGATCTATGGTCACTTCAAATTTGCAAATATCAAAACTCATTTATTACGCGTAACGATACACGAAGGAGAAAAAGCTATTCGTATAAGGTGGAGAATAACTGGAGTGCCTCAGACACGTGTTTTTCTTCAGTTTTATAAATTTCTTCCCGGTAGTAAATATTCAAGGGAAAGAGATGATGAATCTAACTGGTTTGACGGGGTATCGACATTTTTTTTGAATGAAAAAGGTGACATTCAGCAACACACGGTTGACAGAGTTGAAAGGGATACAGAAGGAGCAAAAGATGGAAGTGTTTTGAATACGCTGAAGAAGTTGGCATCACAGTCAAGTGTAAACCCAACGTGACAGAAATCATTCAAAATTCATTATGTATATTTTACAATCTCTAATAATTTAAGTTGACTTAAATTGAAAAAAAAAAAATAATCAATAATAACCGTAGTTAAATTAGTTAATTGTCTGCCGAAGAGAAAAATACCTAAAAACACCCTTGAAACTTATTTACAGTACATCTAGTCCACTGCTTCTTTCATCTTCTTCTTCGTCGTCGTCGTCGTCATCGTCGTCGTCGTCGTCGTCCTCATCATTTGCATCCGTGGAGGTAGTTTCGACAGGAAATTTCGATAGAATATTTTGAATTAGGCTTCGTACGCTTTTTAATTCTGCGTCCTTTGCCGATTCTTTTCTCTTTTTAACTTCTGGCTCGTCATCTTTACTTTCGCGCCTTCTGGGTGGAGATAGAGAATTATGATCACTACTAGATGAAGATGTTTTACGCCTCTTCCGCGGAACTTCCGTTTCTGTCAGAGAATCTAAGATAAAAAAAAACAGATTAGTATTTACATTAGTATTTTAGTAAAATAGAATTTTAGTACCTTTCTCTTCATCCGTTTCGTCAGCCGAGCTATTTTCAGATTTTTCATAAAATAGATAATCTAATTTTCTAATGGCGTCAATTAAATCGACAGGAAATATATTATCTTTATTCACTTGCGTTCTTTCCAGAACAGATAAGATAAGATCAATGGCTCTGACGTCACCTTCAATGTGGAGTAAATCAGATAGCTCGATACGGTTACGTGCGGCTATCGCCATTATTTTAGGCATATACTCATCCAGTAGAGTAGGCTTCCTTTCAAACATGGGTTTGATAAATTCGTAAAGTACCACTTTGCAGAAATCGTAAATGGGTGGTAAAGCAAGGGATTTCGGATATTTACAGAGAACCAAAAATAAATAATCGGTTACTTCTATATCACACAATCGTAATTGTTTCATAGCCATTTCACTAGCGTTTGATGAAGATTTAAAAATATCTCTCCAAACTCTTGCATAGGTTGTAGAGTGAAGTGGTGCACCATCACATCCAGCTAAGCTACTCAATCTAGCTACCTCCTTAGTTAGACAACTTGCATTAATTGCGACTCGAACCAACAAGTCCATAACTGAATAGAATGATTCAAAATACTGCTCTAATTTTGCGTCGTACTCTTTATCTAAGCCTTTTTCTGCTTCTAAATACTTTGGACAGAATCTCATGGCAAAATGTGCTCTAACAGTACGCTTTTCTTGACCTTTAAACGTTCTAGATGGCCAATATTGACCCATTGGTGGGTGAGGCTGTGGTAATTTTTCCATTTCTTTTAGTAGGACGCTCGTCATTTGCTTAACAGCTTCTACTTGATAGTTCAATAGCATCTGTTTAAGAACGCTGATTGTAGCTGATCGTAATTCATGAGAGGCGTGAGCATTCAACAAAGTGACCAAGCGCGGTAGAATATCAGCGTTTTGAGGCCATTTTCGATGAATCCTTGAATTTTTGAAAGAGTGCGTATGTGCAATCTTCAATAATGGCTCCAGACATTCTAAAACGTCTATTAAATCGGGTAGGACGTTACAGGCAGTTGCTTCGTAGTACATCTTATGTAGAGAGCAAATACTTTGAAACAATTTGGGTATAGCTTGATTTTCGACAGCTAAGATTTTTTCCCTATCCGTATGTACCAAAGTTCTTATGACAAAAGTTATAACAGACCAATGACAACAAGGATCAATCTTTTCAATCAATTGCTTAGCACAATCTTCTCTAAATCGATTAACATCTTCGATATCTTCTTCGGTATATTCTGGATATTTTGAACCCAAGAAACGCATGATTTCATGTAATTCATTTATGGTTCTTGCATATTTAGCTGGATAAGGTAAAATATTTTTGAAAGCCCAAGCTAGATTTTCATGAAAGGCTAAGTGTCTAGCAAACTTCCTTGAATGTTTGCAACACATTCGAAGAAGCCCGTAGAAGGTGGGTAAAGATGAAGCATTGTAACGAATCGTCTCTGGATCTTCGTGATCGGCCAGAATATAATTAAATGGAATATTTTTAACAAATGTTTCACAGTCAGTTAATGTTTGAAGATTATCAGTACAATCAACGCATGCATTATGAAGGAATTGAAATATTCCTTGTTTTGTCATAGAGCAGGAACAAGATGCTTGAGGATTATTTGAATTGTGGGTTAATCGGGGATAATAGATATTCCATGCTTCTATTAGGTAATTTTTGCATATCATTTGTTCGGCTTTCGAAAATAACAGCATTGCTATGGCGTTAAAATAGTTGTTTAACAAATTAGCGCCGTGAGAGACGGGGTCGTAATATTTATTAACATCTGATAGAAGAGATAAAGCGTATTCCAAAACGTCATGAAGTTCTTTGCGAATTTCTTGTGGTAGATTTACGTCTCTCAACAAGGCGAAATTATGAATTATCCTATGAACAGTCTTTGGTGATAAAGGAGATGGGAATGAACTATATCGATATTGATGCAATGGCGCCAGCCTTATAAATAGACAGTACGCAAAATTTCTAACCTTCAAATCAGGATTTATAACCAAATAATTCCAAACCCAATCCGACATTCTATTTTTAACGAATAATCTAATAGTTTCAATTTTTGGCACCATTTCACCGAACCACTCAAGTACATGTATGGGGCTTTCTGATAACTTTGACCATAAAACATTTTGGACAGCCGCCTCACACTCTTCCTGTTCAGATAATAAGCTTAACATTTTTGAAAAAGGGCCAGAAATTCTTTGTTTCATTCCTGTCATTCCGTTTACTAATGTTTTTATTACCCGGTTTACGAGGTCTTCGTCACCCTGAACCAAAGACAAGATCAATTTTAAAATATGCCGACCGTTTGCCCCATCTCTGATAACTCGGCTTAAAAATATGAAATCCTCTTGGTAAAGTGCTTTAGTATCGCTATCGGTTAGGGTTAGTTGAGAGTCTAATTCTTCGCGGCTATCGTCGACGAGCATCACAGTTAAAAGAACCATATTATCTAGAGAGGATAATCGCTCTCGTTCATCTTCTTCGTCATCGTCCTCATCACTAGAATGTACTTCCATAATATCTGGCGAGATTAGTGGCAAATTTGGTCCTATAATGTCGTTGGAAGGCTTCTTTGTTGCCCTTTGAGCTGATCTTCTCAAGTAAAAATCAACGCAGTGAGAAATTGCGCAATTTTTCCTCATAAATTCTGCTTCTATAGGCCCAAGACGAACAAAATCGATAACCAAAGCAAAATATTGGCTCATATGTTTGCAATAAGTAGCATTTTTTACGTGTAATAATTCTAAAAGACTAAGTAGGAATTTCGCTAAATTTGATTCTCTGTCATCTGAAGATATTAAACGTTGTTCAGGCATTTTAGCAACATGAACGACAAGTCTTTGAAATATTTCCCTAGTGATATTGTTCGGACATTTTAATAAAATTTGCTTAGGCCACCTCATATCATCTTCAACAAGAGTAACAAAAAACCAATCCGATGTTTGCAAGCTCCTCGTTAAATGTGAGCTCAAAGCTTCTACCCATTTCATCATGTAGGTCTTTTCCCTTGCGTGTAGAAGAATATCCATTACAAAAGTACATAATAAACGAGCAAGAGATATGTTTAATTTTGTGCTAGATGGAATAGTATGAGCAACAGTCGTGCACATATCTTGTACAAATTGAAAGTATCGAGTATCAAACAAATGCTTTTCTCTTAAAAATTTCATGTTATCTTCCCAGATCCAATCGGCCAGCTCAGAGCTTAGTTCAACTTGACACTTTTCAACTGGAGCATTCGGTAGAATACGTTCATAAAATAGCATATAAGCGCTATTTGATTTTTCGTATGATAGATCCATATATTTTTCATGTACGGAGTCATATGTCTTACTAGTCATATGACCACCAAAGCATTCGCTTGCCATATGTGCTTGATCCCATGGTTTTACTTCGGAATCGTTAAACATAAACCAAGCAGGAGATGATGGATATAAGTTGCTTTCGTCGCTTTTTTCTCTACATTTATCTCTGATAAATGAGTAATAATGACCTCCTTCAGCATTTCCCGTATGAACAGTTACTCCAACTAGCTCAAATTCAAAATTTTCAGTATCTAATGGATGTCCATCGTTTTCACCAGTTGTTGAATTCATTAAATTACATTCCATGTATCTAGACATATCCATTTTCATCGGAAATGAGAAATGAGTATTTATCTTTTCTTTAGTCATCGTTAACATATTAAATGTATATCGCATTATGTTAAAGCATAAGTATCTAGGCAGGGTTCTAAAACAAGCTCGCTTTTCCGCCCTTACTTTTTTCTCGCAAACTGAACATGTATACATATTATCCCCATCTAAAACATCTTTTATAGTTACTTCGTCTAATGATTCATACAGATTTTTTCTTCCCTCAACTTGACATCTAACGGTATAAAAATCTTCTGTAGTCCGGCTAACATGACCACAGTCCAATGAAACTACATTGTTGCTAATAACACCTCCAAATAAATTTTTAACAGTAAGCTTTAATGTTTCATCCATTTCTTCCATTTTGGATAAGAGATCAGCAAAAAACTCACTCATGTCTTTTTGTTCAGTGGTATTCAAAGGTTGTCTATCCATCAGATAGACTGAGCATAAACCCTTTGGCGAATATGCTTTTCGCTCAGACTCCATCAAAAAAGCATACATCTTTTGAATTTCTTTCAACGAGGCATCTTGTGAACAGCCGAATGACGTTTCCAACAGGGCTTTGCGAACTTTTGGCACCATATAAACATGTTGCATACATGTGGCTAAGTAGCAAGTTGCTCCTAAATTAGTTAGTCCAACGTAGCCACAGCCAGCTCGAGCTTCCTCAAGAGGGCATAAATCCCAACCAGTAATTGACTGGGAAACGGTGGATTGTTCTTCTTCAACCTTTTTATGTATAAACATGAAATTCTCTTCACTCTCGAGCATCATAGCCATTAACAAGTTATAAGCTGCATATCTAGCAGAGTCTGATTTGCATTTTGGTAAATTTCTTGATTGCTTGTCGGGTAGTGCAAATAAACACCAAAATACGTATTCTGTGAGTTTTCTACCTTCCTCTGTCTCTTTAAATGGTGGATTCATTTTAGCAATAACTTTAGAAATATTTAAAAGTCCAATAAGTGATTGATCTTGAATAGAATCGTGTCTTGTTTCAATTATTGATCGATTTTGAATTAAATTTGATATTCTTTGAATGACTTCATCCAAGTTCAAACCTCCCCATCCATTTTTCCATGATTCTCTTACGTCTTCATTTCTGATTCCTTCAACTAAATCTTGTAACAGTTTAAAAAAATCTTGACAATTTGGTCCCAAAATGTCAGAGTCTTTATCCTGACATTCAACTGGTCTTTGCCTTTGTACAGGCGGCAACTTGAGAGCATCGTCCAAGCAATTGAGTAATGCTTTGACAAGAACTTTTATAAAAGAATATCCACAGTGTCCGTGAGATGTCTGTCCCATACATAGAGCATATAAACCACTTGTACTTTCGCGCCTAACGGTTGGCTCTGGTTCAAGAATTAATAAACGCCTTAACCAGGAAGATAAATTACCTTCACAAAAAGCTTCCTTATCCATAGAGCACAAGCACCACGCATTGAGCAACTTGAATGTAAAGTGCACTAGACTAGAACGTGTAGGCGAACCTAATTGCCAATCGTCTTTCGTGGCAGTTACATCGTATATAATTTGTTTAAGTTTTTGAACAATAACTTTTACGTCAACAGATTGAAGAACTGAGTCTCTTAGACGGAAAACTTTATTTTTAAGTTGCCTCCTTCGCCGAAAATCCGCCTCGTCATCATCGTGCATAGCTAAATGCGAAAGAAGCTTTAAAAGAGGAGCCATACAATCCTGTTGCCATTCGCTCCAGATACCATTTTCATCTAACTTATGGAGCTCTTCGAAGAAGAGCAATTTGATAAAGTGTTCAAGACCTTTCGCATCAATAAACTTTTCCTTCCAACTCTTTTCATTAGTTTTCACTTCTTGTTCATCTGATGATTCTTCTTTCTCAGTATTATCAATGACTAAATCAGCAGATCTTTTCAAAGCTAATAAATTGAATTTTGTAGGCTTGGATAGGGCATCAATAATATTTAAAGCGTAAATTAATCGATGAGGGTTCCTCGCGTCTAAAAGATCATTCCAATTGACTGGTTCTTTCAAAGAAAGTAGTTTTTTTACAATGAATGGTTCAGTTGGGAGAACACATAATAATTCTTGAATTGCACTCGTAACTCTTCTGGCTAATAGATGTACACTCTGATCTGGTGATTTCCAGCTTGCTACGGCATGAAGAGCTTCAAATAAAAGGTCAAACTTATCTATCATTAATATCTGGGGTAGTCTTTTTCTTGGAGGAACAAGAGGATAGCAATCTGACTTTGGTCCGGAAGAACAGACCAGATGTACATTGACTGTTAATGCATCAGAAAGTCTGACTTCTGATAATGTTTTTTCATCTGCATCATAAGATATTTCCCTATTATGAACAATAAGACGAACAGGTACGACTAGATCAGGACTTCGACCCAGCTGATTTGCAATCCAGGAGGTGCAATCCGCTCTTAATTCTGCAACTCTGTCCATGTTGCTTACAACAAACGTATGTCGTATAGTTTTATTTTGTTGATGAAGATTGGCACATACTTGTAAGTGCATTTGCTGACCATGTTTACCGTAGACAGCTACTCGATGAACAGGAACGCCTTTTCCCATTATTGACCAAAGACGTAAGGTATAGGCATATTGAGTACTAACGTGGCATATATTCATTTTTAATAATTGCAAGACCCTATACAGCTGAGGTAATTTATGAGGTAAATTATCAACCGAATGTCTTATACACCTCATGCATCTATTAATTAGTGCTTCTTCATATTCTAGATTATCATCAGCCAGTCTGTTGTTAATGCATGTGATAGCTTCTTCTGAGACACCAGCGTCGTGAGCTTCAACAGCTATTTTCCAAACGTGTTCCATGTGCTCCATTCCCGTACTAATACCTTCTTTAAAGGCTACTCTCATTAATACTGTATACAATTGCAAACCTATCATGGAAGTATGCTCAATCGGTAGAGAAGGGATTTTTTTCTGCAGCAAATGTTCAACAGCTTTTGAATTAAGAGAATGTTGGGAGCGAACTTTAATTTCATTTAAAAACCAATTTAAGCATTCATTTCTGGTATGGGGATAAAGAGCCAAGGCATGCCATATAATGTCAACTCCTTGCTCAGTTAAGGACACATTTGGATCTGTTGCTGTTGACGAGAATATAAAAGTTAAAAAAGACATTCTTATATAACCGTTTGTTTTTTCATCATCTACATCCCAATCCGAGCTTAGGTGTTCCCTCCAATATTTTATATCATTTAGGACATGCTCTAATAACTTTAGCTCAGTTAAAGCTCTATGTACAGCACTGTAAATCGCTATTTTTGTTTTGTTATAGCTCAACAACTTCTGCAGGAGTGGCAAACATATACAAACAGCTTTATGTTTAGCGACATTCTGAACGAAAGCCCTGATAAACTGAGCTCTAATTGTTTGTCCTGTAGATAGAAGTAATGTTGATAAAACTTTTTCAGCTTCCATTGTTAGGGCTTGAGGTAAAACCTCATCCTGTAGTAGATCCCATAAAAGAGTTTTTCCTTTGGCGGTAAAATCTTCATTTTGAAGTCGTTCAATTGCTAATGGTGATCTTGATCGTTTGCTAGGAATTTTCTTCGCTTGCTCTACTGTTTTTGGAATTTCTGTATTTCCTGCAGGAATATGTTCCAAGAACTGAATAGAATCTTCACCGTCAAAATCGTCCATGTTTTTAGGCGATCGAGTGTTGCCTCTTGAAGAACTACATTCATAGTCATCTTCATCCATTTTCAGCTCAGTTGTCGCGATCATATCATCTCTAAATGTTTCCTTTCGTAGGTAATCTTCTACATCTGAATCAACTGAATTAATATTCACATCAGGAGTATTATCTCCTTCGCTATCTTCTACCATACTACCAATCGACGAATCTGATGCAGCATTAGGAACTGGCATAAGATGCCAATGCTTCCGACACTTTCTAGGATGTAAGTCTGTTATTTCATCCTCTTCATCGTCAGCATCCTCATCGTCATCATCATTAGCGTATCTTGTCCAAATATTCTCTGTTAAGTGAGCCAAAACCATGATTGTTTGTTCGGTATATTCAGAAAGCGAGAGCTGAGATAGAAGAGTATGCAATTTTTGAGCTAAAGGAGGACTTAGATGCCTTACTACAACCGTCAAGCATTCATATACATGTCTAGAACAATGTCTTTGTTTTATAGACTCCCAAATGCACTCTAAATGATCAGAGGTTAGTTTACCTTCAGCAACCACATGTTGAACGATCATTGTACTTTGTTTAACTACTTCTCCATGAACATTAGGGCCAAAAGTGTACTCTATAATTTTCTTATCTACTATCCAGTCAGCAATTCTAGAATTCATCCCCGTTTCTGATTTATCATCACATTCATTAGCCGTTGATATGTATGAATTTATGTTTGCAACTGCAGATAACCGTAAACTCAAAGTCTGTGAAGTAAAATACTTAAGAGTGACTTTTAAAGCTAATTCATCATATTCATATGGCATACTATCATTTACAGGCTTTATAGCCAACCAAATAATATCAGCAAGACCCTTTGCCCCAGCTAGTTTCAAATCGTCTTCCGACAACTGACAGATATATTCTATAGCAGGTTTCCTAATGCAGTCTAAAAGTTGTTGGGCAGAAGCCTGATTTATGTAAGAACGAAGATTATGCACCAAAGTAAAAAGTTCGTGAATAATTTGAGGGGGAACTTTAGAATCCGTTCTCAGGTTTGCGAAAAATCCTCGTATAGCCTGCAGTCCGCGCAATTCATAAAAATGAACAATATTACGGAGAAGCATTCTTGGAATATCTCTATCAATCAGAATATACGAATCGCAATAAAGTAACAAAGGTTTGTCTTCTGCATCTATATTATTAAGCTGAATAATATCATTCACTCCAGCTGACTTCCGTTGAGTAACATAAGGGTAATAGCGAATTGTGAAAATAGTGTTAAGGAGGTTTAGGCTGCTTATCAAAAGATCATAGTCAATTTGAGGAATCTCTTGAGACGAACAACTTCTTAACAATCGGACAGTTTGAGCTATAAGTTCTCTTGTTAAAGAGCTAGAGCGCTTTAGATCTTCTGCATTTTCTAATTCGTTGCAGGAGCAACCCATCCCAGGCCAACCATTTAAAAATTTTATCAAATCAAGCACCCTTGCGGGCGAGAGATTCATCCCACGTTCATAGGAATCATCTGAAATTTATATACATTTTTTTCAAGTCGTGATTCTCAACCAAAAAAAAAAACGAAACAAAGGATACTAGATATCGAAACGAGAAGTGAGCGATAAAGGGGATAATTTTAAAATACTCACCGATTCGAAGAGCTGTTTCGAATTGCAAACAAGTTTTGCAAACCATAACTATAAACTCTTTGATCCGTACTCATACAACGACATCCGCTCTTGTAAGCCCTAGAAATTTGAAAGAATCTCTAAATGATGCGGCTATTTTATGTTATTTTACGGAAATCGTTTCCCGGATGTTCAGTGGTATACGTCTCAACAAGTTGAAGTAGTTCGAAAAGGGAAGTCGAACCAGTTTAAATAAAACTACGAAATGCGAGGTTTTAAAGAACAATAACAAATTAAAAACTCTAGCTACAACCATTTTCATTGAAAAAAAGGGAAGTTTTACGAAAATTAATATTTCAGTGATTTTCCTTAAATTCCTTCAGAGCTTAAAAATATTTTAATAAGTCTTCATAGAATATTGTGATTTATACATAAAAAGATGCATTTTTGGAAAAAAATTGTTTATATCCAGAGGAACTGATTATTTGCTTTGAAATAATATATATGTAAATTCAAACATTTTTAGACATTTTACTCAATACACTCTAGAGTTATAAAGTATCTTTACAACTTTATACCATAAGAATATTGTTGAAAATCGATTCATTACCACGGAATGTAAAAGTTACGATCGAGTTTCAAAAGCAATACAAATTCCTATATGCCTAATGGCATATAAATAATTTATGATACTAGAAGATGATATTATTGTCAGTTTTAATAGGCATTTTATTATGTTAAACTTTATTTTGGTTGTAGTGTTACTTGGTTTTTATTCAAAAATTTAAATATTCTTTTTCTTGTTTTTAGATACAAACACACTTTAAACCTATAAAGTTATAAATATATCATAAGAGGATAAAATTTTGTTGGTTGCCTCTAATATGAGATGACAATCATGTGTGTTATCATTCATTGGGAATTGAAACTTAAACAATTCTAGATGCTTTAAAATACTTTACAAATAAACCAATGAATATTAAATTATTTCTATATATCAGTGTCCTTAATTCTATATGTATAACTTAATTAGAAATAAAAACATATATATATATATATATATATATATATATAGTATATTTCTTCCGATTTAACAGAAATTTATAGATAATTATAATATATTTGACAAAATATTAACAAATAATAATATTCATTCAAAAGTTAGAATGAATAAGACTCTTTTTATATAATAGTAAACAAAACTTTTAATATAAACATAAAACGATAATCAAAGAAATAAACAGTATGATTAGACTATAAATGATTATAAATATCATTGTTCTTTTTCACTACTCTATTAAAATTACGTTAGTCAATTGTTTTTTAATGAAAAGAACCAATTGTCATATTGCGATGTTTTTCGGATAAATTAAGAATTCACAATAGAAATTCTAAAGGAATGTATTGGGAAAAAACAGTTCCAATTTGTTTATATGCAATGTATTTATAATTTTTTCATTAAAATTAAAAGCATTGTATCTAATGATGATAAAAAATAAAAATAAGAAAATAATTGAAATCGATAAGGCAGACAGAATAACTAAATTTCGTAAATAATCTAGTTTTAACAGCCTGGAATAATTAATAACAAGCGTTTTATTAGCTGAAATGATAAAAATTACCTTATTTTAAATAAATATTAGCAAACTGTTAATATTTTTGAAAGATACAAGGAGAAAATAGGCGAAGAGTGAAAAATTTTATAAAATGAGATTCGAAAAACTCTCATTTCCGGTTTGCAAAATGTTTTCGTAGTTTTCCGAAGTATACAAGTCATTACAGCAATCTCGGCAAGGAGGATCTATATCATTAATATTTCTCGGGTTCATCAAATAATAGGACACAATATTAATGTATTCTTGGCTCTAAAGGTAATCAATAACCTTACTATTATTTTGTATAGAAACTGTTTAGAAAATGTTCCTTGTCTAGGAACGAAACATTACATTCTTTCACACCTCTCAATTAAGGTATCTGTATCTTTTAAACAAACAAAAATTCTTCATATTGGCATTCTTATGTTTGAATTTTAACAATATATCGATTAAAGTTACCAATATCAATATATATCAATACTTTTTATACCTGCCCTTTCTCACCTAATTCGTAACTTTCCAATATTTCAATATTTAATTATCGTAATTGAAATAATTATAAATAGCAATTATATTATAAGCAACAACAAAAATAAAACGAGAAAGCCAACTTTTTAGAGCGAGGTGCCGGTTACTCTGAAATTGTTGAGAAGAATTTCGTTAGAATATTACTCTCTAAACTATGAAAAACTTGTATGATTAACTTGAAAATCTCATTCTTTTACAATTGATTTAATCAATTGAACTAATCAATTTAGGTCAATTTTTCTCTGTGAATTTATCTATTTTTATGGAAAGTATAGTTGCAATTTATCATTATTCACAGATATCAGTTTCAAAGGAAAAGCTATAATAAAACTTTAATTTGAGCATGAAGAAACTTATAATAAGTCTTTCTACAATTTCCATTTTGTTGCTGTTGGTCTATTTATACAATACCAAAATCTTTCGTTCGAATAAAGATAATGGACCCCGGCTTAGAAGTCAATCGTTGATTCCTAGAGGTAAAGATACTTAACATTTTTATAGCTGTTTTCAATATTATCATTTGCAATTTTTAGTGCCGGTTCATTGGCAAAAGTCCGACTTTTTGAATATGTATGCCTTTTCCGCCTTTTACGATGATCGCTCTACGTTGCAAGGTTCTAAATGCATCCGAATTGTTGCAATAGCAGAGAAGAAACTAGTTGAGAAATCTGCTCCTTATTGTCATATAGTATATGAAAAAGGTCTTCCAGATATTGTTCAAAGTCGACCAGCTGATATAGGTGTAGGTGTTTCCTATAGAGGATACTGGTTCAGAGAGTATGTGTTTGAGTGCCCTCTGCAAAGTAATCGCCTACCTCTCAAAATATTTCTTGCTAATAAATCAAATCAAAGAACACAATGGTCAATTCCTGTTGAGTTTCCTCAGACACCTAAAATAAAACAGGTATGTTTTTCTTTCTCTAATTAAAACTTATTTTATACTTTCTTAACTATTTCATGGTGACAACAGGACTTTGCCGTTTGTGTGATATGTGCGTTTTCGAAATTTAACCCTTCAAGAGTGCTTGAATTTGTAGAGATGCATCGCCTCTTAGGTGTATCTCAAATATACGTATACAATAATAATCTAGAACCAACTACACACAAGTTATTTAAACAATTACATGAAATGGGGAAAATCGATTTAACTGATTTCAAAACAGGGTTCTTTGAAACTCCAGCTCCTTCTCATGCTTATTACGCTCAAGTAAGTTGAAAATATAGTTCAAAGTGCAAACATTTCTTTATTCTTTTCTTTCTTTTCAAGGCGTCACCTGCTGTCAACGATTGCATACTTCGCAATATGTACTCTTATAAAAAGTTAATTATTGTCGATCTAGACGAAATAATCATTCCAAATCAAGGGTTAAATTATAAAGATATGTTAGAAGCGATAGATAAAAAGTATCCAAGAAGTATAGAAACCAAATCATATCATTTTAGGAATGCTTACTTTTTTTCTGATTTTGATAACTTGAAAAATAAAAGCGATACTAATAACGACAGCAAAGAAATTGCTACGTTTAGGAGATACAGAGCAAAAGTTAGCGGTCCAGGATATTCAATTAAGAGTATTATAGATCCGCTATCTTGCTATGGAATGCATAATCATTTCTGTTGGCATAAAACGAAAGCGGCCGATGTACCTAACGAATCTCTGGACGTTCCAGTTGAATTTGGTACGTTACATCATTACAAAAAATGTCATTTTGATAAAGCTAAATGTGCCGAAATAATCAAAAATCCAATAGTAGATGAATCTGCTTTGAAATTTAGGCAACAATTGTTATTAAATATGAATAGCACAGCTCAATATTTAAAATTAAAAGATGTTTTCTAAGATGAAGTTATATTTTGGCTGTTTGAAAATTTTAAGATTTAAAAAGAAAACCATGAAATTTTTTGAATACACGTTTTTTTTTCGCTTAAAGAATTCATTGATTTGTTACCATAGTCTAGGAACGAGTCGCTTAGTATTTTTCATATATGCAATATAGTCCGAATTAGTACCCCATTTCTTCCAACCTTGCTTCTCCAAAAGTGGTATTCCACTTACTTTAGTTAGCAGGATAGCGACAAGAATAGGTGATAAGACTGAAATACCTTCTAAACCTCTGAAGGATGTAGAAGCACAAACGTATGCTCCACACCATATGACGATTTCACCAAGATAGTTCGGATGACGAATTACACTCCAAAGTCCTACGTTGATAAATTTATTCTTATTTCTTGGATCGTTTCGGAATACTGTTTTTTGATAATCCGCTAATGACTCGAAGACGAAGCCAAATATGAACATAACAAATCCAGCTATATCACTACCAGTTATTGGACGAAGTTCATCGTTCTCTTTCAGATTTAGCAGGATAGTCGGCAACAAAGTTACAAAACACCATATACCCTGAATAGTCCAGAAAACAGCCATTCTTTTCGGATTTTGTTTGGCATGCTTAAACCTTCTATCCTCGCTTTTCAAAACTCGAAAGAACAAGAAGAGGCCCAATCTGATAAAGATTTTTAAAACATTTCACAGTTGGTAATTTATTTTAACTAGAAATTTAATTTAAGAGAAAAAAAACCTTAAGGCCCACAACATTGCCATAAAGCTAAGAATATTCTGCCTAAGCGAAGGTTCTTCATTTTCTTGTAAAGATATGTATACAAGAAGAAAATTTGTGATGGCACCTAAAAAAAATTTGAGTCCTAGTTATTACTTGAATAGTATTTTGGAATTATTTACCGCAAAGATCAAATAATTTTTCGGTTTTCAATAAGATAGAAAAAATGCACCCTACAGCTTGTAGACCAAAGTCAATAGATAGCAAAAACATTAAAGTTCCAGACATTGTTTTTAAAAACTTGTAGAATTTGTCACGTTGAAATATGATTAGAAAAAATAATGTGCATTATCTGTACAATAAGTGTACTGCTAGATAGAGTTGCCAACCAATCAGAAATTGGATATATATATTCACTATGACTCGTCTATTAGGGCGATAAAATAAGTTTCATTAGGCTTTAACATATATTATACAAGCGTGGACACTATACAAAAATTGGAAGAAAACTCGATACAATGTTATATTTGACTGAAAGATATTGATGATTCTCCTCACTATTTGAATATTCATGTTTTCCCTATTTGAACTCTATATGCATCAGTCTTTTCTATATTGATTTGAAGTACCACCTGGTGGACAATTTAGTTATTGATTATACAGGAAAGTACTACTTGCTGCTGACAAAAAAGATGCAATAATGAAGAATAAGAGGCATCCATACAATTTGATGAGTTTTCAAATGAATTTATTACCTTTTAAAATATTTAATTTAATTAAAAATATGTTTCTTCTAAATTAGAAAAAAAGTAATAAATACAATAATTAGTTAGTTAAAAAGTGTAATAAAATACATGAGTTCTAACTACTTTTAGTAATAATATAATATTTCCAATTTTCTATTAATTACCTGCATAAATAAAGTATTTTTATACTTTATTACTTTCGATTATTTGTTATATCTTTTTGCCAGTTTGTACTTGCTCTAAAATGTATATCTAAAAAGAAAAAATGAACAAACTACCTTCAAGTGCAAAAGAAAAAAAAAGAACATTTTTTCTAAACTCTTCTAAAATTCCAAACTTGGAACAAAAGTGTAAAAAAAGGAGAAAAAAAGTTATTTTATAATAAAAGCCAACAAAGACGAAGTAAATAGATTCGAGGTTTCAATAAGAATAGGAAAATACAAAGAAACGACTACGACCGGTAACAAAATTATATAATAAAATTGATTATTTATTTAGAAGATAATAAAAATAGCGCCATCTATACTTTCTAGAACAGAATATATTTAATTAAAAGGATTCTAATTAAAATCGTGTTAAATAGGCTTAATATAGTATTTTAAATTATAACGAATTATAAAATATGAAATTTATACTATAATTACTTTAAAAATAGACAAATGTGCTATACAAAGGTTTTAAATAATAATAAGCAAACAATTACAATAAATATAAAAAGTAATAAAATATCTTAATATATTCATTTTTTTTGTCTTTATAGCCTTTATTGACTATTAATATAGTTTGTTACACCTTTGTCAAGTATTATTACCTTTGAGAATATACTTTTGTCTCTTAAACAAAAAATCAAGAATATTCTTTTCATATGAAAGATAAAAGAACTTTGCTACAAAATGATATAGATGTGCTTTTTTTGCTCATTCATCATCATAATCTTCTTCTTTTCTATCTCTCGCACTCTCTCTATCTGTCTATCTCTCTCTCTCTCTCTCCTCTTTAGGACATACAAAAGAATAAAAAGGTATAAGAATCTCTTTCAAGTAAATTTTTGCTATATAAAGAGCACAGGAGAAGGTTTTTTTGTGGTTCTAATGATTTTTTCGTTCCTTTTTCCCTCTTTATTACAAGTTGTATGACAACAATTAATTCTCTCTTTTTATAATGATTCGCTAAAAGTCTATAGAATAATGCTGTTATTGATTACATTGACATTTAATGTTAAAAAAATTTTTTTATCGATCTTAGAGAATCTCTAATAATCAAGTCTTCAAACGTCAGATCTTGGGATAAGATAAATAGGGTTAGAAATAACAAATCCCAAGCAAAATTGTAACTGATATATACATTCGAAATACTTTGTCAGGGCCTGAAGAATTTTGTCGTAAAAGGCTATGCAAATAAGTTTGTGTAGTGTAACCAAGATTAGATCCTTTTTTAGGCTTACAAGGCACCGAAAATGTAAACCAATATTGTTCTAACTAAAGGGTTAAACCCGAGCAAGGTCTTCTTTTTCTACTCGCCTAGTCAAAATTCTTGCAATAAAAAAAAACTCCAAACATTAGTTTATTCCATCTCTTAAGGCCGAAAGAGAGGTCATTATCCCTTTAGCCAATTTCCCCCTTAAAAAATTCTCGTCTAACTTGGTGAGCGGATCTATTGGTGAGAAAAAATTGAATATTACAACTAATGAGCTAGCTAGTAAAAGAGATTACGGTAAATGATCTATTAATCATGAAAACTGCTACCTAATTCCAAAAAATCGAAGAGTTTCCTATTCCGAATCGTCGACGTGTTTAATTCGACCGTTGAATAACAATAAGAAACGGTTTTTTTTCCTATACTAATCAGTATTTCTTTCTGTGTATGTCTCTCTACCCTCCACCCACCCCCCGCCCTTTTTCTCTGTGTCGTTTTTTTTGTTTCCTCTCATCAACTTTGTCTTTGTCCCTATTTCTCTTCTATTTTCTTATTTAGTCACTCGTTATACGAATTAATTGACTCAGGTACTAGATACACTAATTGCATGCCTTTTTCTGCTATCGTTCGCATAGGTACATGCCTTGTGTAGAAAATCCGCCAAAGGAAGGTGAAACTTCTTAATTATCTCTTTAAAGCTTTGCTTGTCGTTTGTTTGAAACCCGATTCATTCTATCGTATTTATATAATTTATCATCTTTATTGTTTTTCAAAGGAGGGAATTAACGCTTATAAAGTACGAAGCGTCTAAAATTCCAGCTCTTCAATTTTTTTCCTTCCTCCTTTTTCTAATAGTTTTCTCCATCAGTCGATAAAGATAATAAAGGGAAGAAAAGAACGTCTCTTTAGTCTGTTTGCTTTTTCTATGTTACATATACTTATCGTATTCTACGTATTTATCCGTTCAAGCCCGTATTAACAAAAGTTTCCGTTTACAGACTCTCCTAAGATCAAATAGAAGCCTGTTTACCACTCCCTTGGCTTTCTATCAGCGCATCGAAATAAAGATCGATCGTTTTACTAATTTTTCGCTACTACTAAGTGCACTACTCCACCAATTTATATTACGTAATAAATTTGATTACAGAACAAAAGAATATCTTTCTTTTTTCAGTGTGTATATTTTTTTTCTTTTCTTTATTTTCTACTCTTTTCCTTTATTTTGAACACCATTCTTGACTCGTTAAAAGATGTATAAATACTATTAATAATCATTCGATAAAAAATCATCATACCGTAAAACAAACAAAAAGACAAAAAAAAAAAAATGAAAATTAACAAATTTTCCTGCCTTATTTACAGAAGTACTGCAAAAAAAGATATGCTTATATATACAGCACAGCACATTTTATATTTATATGTGTATGTATAGATATATCGATATACAGCACATATATAAATATATATATATATATAAATATATGCACATATTTTTATACAGTAGTTTAATATTTATTTCTATATACACATGTATATAACTGTAAATATATATCGTAAATAAATATAAAGTGTACAGTGTATATACGAAAGTATATGAACAAAATTTATAGCATAGTGAAGCAGTTAGTTGTGGTTGTTTAACTGTAATTCCTATTTTTGCACCTCAATCGAATCTATGAAAGAGACATTAACGAATTATCACACTAGGCTTACTCCACCATATATTCGTTGAGGTACGACTTCTTCGTGAATACTATACAAAGGGTGACGCATTTCAGTGCTCCTCTGATCCCGAAATGTGACTCGTCTTGTTGTGGGTATATGATTGTCATTAACAGGCCTGAGAACAACTTCTGTAGAACACTTGGTGTAATCTGAAAAGTCATTGGGTAGAGAATGAGTAAATAAGTCGCAGAGAGGAGGAAAGAAATATTTAATAAATACCTCTACTATTGGGGGAATCGCTTTCGAGTGTTCCATTTCGATTCTCCCCCTCCTCATAACTTCCCCTTCCTGAATCGGTATCCCGTTCTTTTACAGCCAGTTGATGGGCGGATAAATAGACGTCATTACTATGGCAGTTATCGCTGGGAGTCTTTATAAAATGCATATCGCCCTGCGGAATAAGGATAAAATTAGGGATGCGTAATTAGATATATTAGGGTTTTTTTTCTCATTCTTTTTATAGACGCCAACCTTATCGAAACTGGTATGCGAAGAGCCGCTGTTCCTTTCAATACATTCCCTACTCAAATACGTCACTTCCTTCTTACTACCATCTAAACGATCCAGGGGTGTAATCTCCAACTTTGGAGCGTTTTTTTTCTCTCTTCGACTCGCACACAATAGATTCCTTCTAATGAGCACCGTTATTGTGATAATAAGAATAATAATGACGATTGCCGATGCTACAACGACAATTATTATCACAGTAACGCTAACTTCTGAAGGTTGATTTGGTTGTGAGTGTGAGTTGGCAAATGGTATGGACGAGTTAATTAATACGTAGACATAAACCGACGAATTCAGGCTCGGTACTCCTGAGTCACGAACGACTACATGAAGAGTACAATTCCGATATACAATTTCCTTTAGAGAACTTTTAACGAACAAATTCCCACTTATTTTACCAATATCGAAATACTTGCATGAATTAATAGCGCCCCATAAGTATGATATCTGTGAGTTTAAGCCCATGTCATTATCTCGAGCAGTTACCGTAAATATCTCGTAATCAACAGGGGTTCTTGAAGAAATGGGAAAAGTTTGTCCGTTTTTAGGATAACTTAGTATTGGCTTGTTATCATTTTTATCGCCAATTTTAACGATGACAAGGGCGGTATCAAATTGGGCAGCATTCTTGGAGCTCGTTGCTCTGACGAAAAACCTGTATTCATCCTTTACTTCTCTGTCGAATTTTTCAAGGGAACTTATCGTTCCCATACTCGAATCAATGTCAAAGTTAGAAAATTCCTCTAGTATCGAATAAATCGGATAGTCCCCTAAATCCTCATCTCTAGCTGAAACTCTTCCGATTACTTTTAGAGGTTCCTCTCCTTCCAGCAAATCGAAATGGTATGTTTTATTGAGAAAAGCGGGTTTCACATCATTCGTATCGAGTACTTTTAGAAAAACGGTAGCCGTTCCGTTTCGTCTCGGCTTTCCTTTGTCAAACGCCCTTACAACAAACGAATACGAATCTCTCTCTTCTCTATCTAGAGGGTAATTAGATCGAATTTCTCCGGATCCTTTCTTTATTCGAAATGCGTTCGATTTATCACCTTCGATTCTGTATTCAATATCGGAATTGGCACCTTTGTCTAGATCGGTAGCCGTAACTTTAAGTAAAACCTTCTCAACATTATTATTCTCAGTAACATTAATTATATAGTTGCTTCTTCCGAAAATTGGAGGATTATCATTTATGTCTTTGATGATAACTCGTATCGTCTTATATCCTTCTTGTTTCTGAGCGTCTCGACAGGTTATTTTAACAATGTCAGTTTCGTCTCTTTCCCTATCGTATTTATGTTTGGTCGTAATGCGATATTCTTGCCTATATTGTTTCGACGTAGAGCTGCTGGCGGAGTCCTCCTTAAATAAACTAAAACGTTTGTTATCCAGGGAACAGGTCACTTCGCCCGTTATTTGTTCATTTGGATCTTCAACCGTTAGATAAGCAACAAATTGCTCAGTTGAGGTTTCCTCTAGCACCTCGGCGTAACCTTTTATCGAGCTGTCCGACATACGATCGACCCGAATTTGAGGCGGATTATCGACAGCTTTGACGATAACGATAACCTTAGTTTCCCCTTTTCTCGACGGATTACCCAGATCGGTTGCCACTACTGTTAACTCGTATTGTCCGCTGTTTAACACGGATTTAAGGGTGATTTTTCCATTTGTGGGATCGATATCAAATACATCGGAAGGCTTTGAAAATGAATATTTCACTTGACCATTTCTACCCAAGTCGATATCTTTTGCTGTTAGCTGAATAATTTCAGTATACCTTTGCGTATCTATAGCAACGTTTTTTCTCCATTCACTTTTCTCAAAAGTGGGATAGTTATCGTTCAAATCAGTAATCGATATATTTACTTTCATTGATCCTTCATTTTTTCCATCAGTTGCAATAATTTTTAACATATAATTGTCAATCTGTTCCCTATCCAACTTTTCAATAACATTTAGTTTAACCTCTTGACCGTTCGCACTAAGATGAAATTTCCCAAAGCCGTTTTCTAAACGATAGCTTTTCACCCCAAATTTCGGACTGTCTAAATCAACTGCCGGAGGTATTAATTTAGTAATATTCACTTTACTTTCGGGTATTTCTAAAGTGATCATCCCCGTTGCAAATGTAGGCGGTGAATCATTGATATCGATAATGTCAATTTTAATCGATTTAAAGATTTTGTTGATAAGTATTTTTAAATATACTTGACATTCATTACTAGATCTACAATTGACCATTTTTTCCCTATCAATTTCCTGTAAACTCTCTATATTTTTCGTGGTTGGGTCGACTATGAATGGAATATGCTCGGGTGATTCTATAATCGTTAAATTAGCCGTTTTGGCAAGAAACTGAACGTCTAATTGTTTCGATATATTTTGCAGCGTTATGACACCCCTCCTGCCTTCGACTAGATCAAAATGCAATTTGCGGTAGTCACATAATACTGTTTTTATCAGGAAGAGAAAGAAGTAGAAGATTCGCTTATTCCAATTAATCATGGTTCTTACAAAAAAAAAATCAAAAAATTTTAAGTGTAGAGGGCACCATAACCGTTTCTCTTTCTCTTTCTTTCTGTTTCTTTATCCCTTTTATTTGAGGGAAAGCAGATCTGTGGAAAATGAAATGTCGAATAAATATTACACGGTAACTTAATGTGTATATAACTAAAGTAATATATACAGGGTATTAAAAAACTTATCAAGGTTATTGGATATCTTGTTTTATATGCCTATAATTATAAGTTATAATATTTTTATGAAATATAGGAAAATTTTTCTTAAACTTAATCTTAAAGTCGAATAATTATCGAACTGCGAAAAATCCACGTAGAATAAACAAACTATAACAAATGTTTGCACAAATGACAAAAAAAACTTTATAATATTGATATAATATCAGATTTTATAAGGTTTTTACTATTCGAATCGATCATGTTGAAGCGATATTTAGATAAATTAGAGCTTCACTATACATTCATTTCTTTCTTACCGATTATTCAATAACAAAGGCATAATCCTTAATGTAAATATTAGTACGATAAGTGTTTTTGTTGGAACAGCTTTCGGAATTCTTTATCAGTTGAGGCAAAGCTATAAATTATTGAATCCTCTCTACCCATCACCTGCTCTCCTATTTAAGCTCTTTAACACAGCATTCGATTACGAAAGTAGTTCACCAAGTGTTTACAGTATGAATTTTCATACTGCGATGCGCTGAAAAGATCGTTCAGCAACGGTCAACCGATATAGACTTAATGGGGAAAGCTAACATAGGCAGATGGAGAGGCTGTCAGACGACAAACGAACAAACCGAGTTCAGTTTATCTAAAATGGACTCGACACTATGCATACAGAACAGATTAATTAATAGATTTTTTTGTTATTGTTGATTTCTAATTATTAAACAATACTCTTTAATTATTGATTCATACCTAGCGTCTTCACATCTATTTTTAAATAGAGTATATATTGAATTTATCCGTTAATCTTTTATTGCAATGAAAACAATAAACTAATGAGATGCGAGTGGAAGAAGAGTGGAATGAAGGATGAAAAGGAATTTTTTAATGCCGGCTCGGACGTAAGATTTAAGAAACTTTTACACTTGGTTGAATTGTCGCCCCGTAACTTTTCCTGCCCAGGCAGCTAATTGGCTGCTAACAGAAGTCACATGGTACACTTGCCATATGCGCGACGCGTTGCATAATATCCGTGTCTAGATGTAATTAGGGAGTAGAGAAATGAAAAGAGAAATTGATTGCGATGCGGTAAATAAACTAGAAATTATGTTGCGCAATCGGCGCCCCTTAATTAAAGGGGATCGCAAGACAACAGGCTATTTATTCTTTACTCAACCTCCCAACCCTTCGCTTTCTTTTGCATCACCTTTTCAATACAATCCCTTAACTCCGACTACCCCCTGCTGGCAGAATGAAACGCGTGCCTCGCGAATAATTCGGACAAACAGATGTTCGAAAATTGTAGCAAGTACTCTCCTACAGCTCGCTCGATACGACTATATGAACACTTTGAATGTGATCGATAACTGATTGATTGCTTATGAAAGGACTGCGGAATCATTCTAATCTTAAAAGGCTTTTTTTCTTCGGGCTACAACACTTGATCACTTAACTTTTCTGCTTGCTAAAATCTCTTTATAATTTAGTAAAGTTGAAAATCAATTCCAACTTTCCATCATTTACTTTTACCTCAATTTCATCTTTTTATAAAAAAAATTAAGAGGAAACACGTCAATTTCCTGCTGTGAACTTTGCCCATGTACATTATATTAATTAGTTCTATTGTTCGGGCGTTTCAAGGTCGAGAATGGATTCGACCCGAGTTTTACGCTCTTCTGACCAGGTATATAAAACCACATAAATTGCGAAACAGTCAATTGAATTTGAATAGAATTTTATCAAGTAGATGCAGTACACGTTCAAGTGTACGAACAGATGTTATTTTCCAAGATTTACGACTATCCCGTATACCTAAAAATTTCCGTTAAAAAAAAAAAGAAGCGTTGCACTCTAAATCCAAATAAAAAAGAAACAACCAGCCCGGCGAAAAAGTTAATAAAGTAATAAGTAGCGAAAAATTCCTTAGGACGGAATAGGAAAAGAGCGATGGGATTTGGGCGGTAAATCGACTTTATTGTTTATCTTATAAGCCATATTATATACAAGCTGTTAGTTAATTTATAGCGAAAATAGGCTATTGTTCTGAAGTGTACAAATTAATCATTATCTCTATTGTTTTTACTAAAAATCTTCATAAGTTTTATATACATATAACTCAAGTGAGGGCTATTTTTCACACTGTCCCTTTTCTACCCTTGTGTGGGTGTCCTTCTCTTTTTCAATTCCCTCCTTTTTTCGTTATTTTAATACAATAACATATTTATACGTGTGCTTCCATTTAAGTCGTTCTTGATAAAAAAGAAAGAAGAGAAGTGGGCGGCAAGGAAATATTAGTGAAGAAAAAAGGAAAATTTATTAACGACCGGGGTACGTATTTGAATAATTCAAGAGAAAAAAGAAAATTAGCTTAGTCTGATTTTTATTAAATGGGTGTAAGTTGAAGTAGATTAGGAAGACAGATAATGATTTTAACGAAGTCCTTTATCTCAACCATCTTAATTGCAAAACGTTTTTTTTATTTCATTCTTCTTTCTATCTTATATTTCCTATTCTCATTCTCCTTCTTTCTTCACAAAGGAGAAAATTACCACTGCTATAATAACTATAAATTAACCATGAGAAATTCTTTATCTTACGTGAGTAGAAATACTTTTGGTTAGGAAATTACAGGAAATTATCTTTACGAATCTTTCTCTTATATCCTTTTCTGGAATTTACACTATGTAAATAGATGGGCGGCAGAACCAACTTCTAAACGCGCACCTCACCTTCTATTATGAAAGTACATACAAAGAATCTATATTCTTCTTAACAATAATAATAATAACAAGGTCTGTTGTGAAAGGTGCGTTTAGAGAAATTAGGAAACATTAACCATAAACCTTAAAATATCCGACCCAGCAGGACAGTTGCAAGGTCATTTATAGTGATTTTGTTAAAGGTCGTAAATTTCTTTTAGAGTTTTGACAAATGACTGTTCCACGCCTATAACTTATCTACGTAATAAAACTCGCATAGAATATAAATATATATAATATAATTTATATATAAATAGATAGGTTAAAAGGTAAAGAACACAATGGATTCTGTAATTGAAACATTCCTTCATTCTTACTAATATAGTAACAGGGAACAATCCCGGTACGACACTTCTTAGAGAAACCAGCGAAAGTTAGTATATAGAGGTAGTAGAGAAGAAAGTTGAGGTCCCATGGTGATGTTTCGCGTGCTCAACTTTTCCTTCTTTCTTACTCGCTCTTCCTCTTCATTTAGTTCTTATAGAAAAATTAGGCGTGACAATCGTGCTCTGGATTGGTAAAGGGAGAGTCGAACACTAACCTACGTTCGATAGTTCATTCGATATGGTCTTTCTACCCCTTTCCTTACTCAATATAAAATGAAAGCACCTGTAAACACTTTCGATTTATGCCTATTTTACGCGTACGCCTATATATATAGATATACTGTATACAATATTTAGAGAAAACTTTGGTATACTAGTAATGAACAATAAGTCGACTGTATTTAGGTAAAGAATGAAGAAGTGAGCAAAAGAAGAGAGAGGAGAAATAAAGAACTGAGAGCAATAAGTCAGCCGGGGGCGATTTTGTCAAAAAAAAATTCTCTATTACACCTAAACTCTCTTCAGATATGGGCCGTTTGTTATCCGCATTGTATATAGAATCAGTTCTTCCTATTATATTAAGCTTAAGATATACGAGAAAGAAAGAGAGCGGAAGAGTGGGAGGAGTTGACTGTAAAAAGAAAACTTTACTAATAGCTCTTCTTAATAAAAGCTTTAGTTGGTAGAGCTGCAGTCTTCGGTATCGAGTTATATACATTAGCTGAATACATATAGGGCTAAGGGTAAAGTAAACAGACCGACCGACGTCCAGTCAGTGGAAAGAACGCTTGCCTTGAGGCTTTTATCTTACCTTATCTTGGGAACGGCTTGTATATTTTAAACATGAAGTTTGAGAAGAGAGAAATGCCGCTCTTTCTACTCGAACCAGGGAATTGTCACTTATCGGCTCTTTTCAAAGCTTTAGGCCATGTTAGTAAGCTATTAAGTATTTAGCACCTTGAAAGTAAAATAGTCGAATAACTCGACAACTTCAAATTAGTCAATTCCCTTCGACTACTGTTATAAATTTTAAAATACATATAAATAGTATATAGGATGAAAAAATAAATAGGTTTAAGCCAATACATCAAAAGAGGTGTGGGGAACAATCGTTATGATATAAAATTCCAATAAATGAACATGTGCGTTATTAGGTAGCAACAAAAAGCGCGGTAAGATCAAAGAGGCTTTCCTAAAGGTTATAAGAACAAACAGAACGTTGACGAATAATTTTACGGCGTTATTAGAAGGCGATTATATGGTAAGACCACGTCAACAAAGCGTCCTTTACGGGGATTAATTATTGCCAAAGGCCGTATACACGTACACATATAGAATGTTCGAATGTATAGACGTCTAAATGCACCCTTAAATCGTGTATAAATTCGTTTCGGGCGTCAAGAATAAAGCGTAGAACTTTATCACCTGCCCGTAATTATATAAGGCGATTTCAGCCCCAGGCTGGATATAAGGCAACATTTGGCGGTCGGGGGAAATAGAATCAACCGACGTCGAGCAATCGAGAGTCGATAGACGCCGGGAGGTCGTCAAAATACCCCGGCTGACACGACTCCCAACTATGTTGAACGGTTATTTTGTTTAGTTGAGGTGATGGGAAAGAATAAGAGAGAAGTTGTTCTATTATGAGGGCTTAACTTTCCATTGTTTTTTTCTTTTTCTTACTGCTCCCGCTTACAAAACCAGTAGGCTAGCTGAGCTGCTCTTTTTAGAAACTCATAATTTCTCTTCTTTTTTCCCCTCATACTTCACATAACTTTTTCCTTTTCTTTTCATCTATTTTTGCAGAGCCGTTTTTCCATATAGGCTAAGCAATTATGCCTCGTAA